TGTATCGTCTCAAAGATATTCAGTGATATTATAATGAGGGGAAGTAATTGCGCGCTGCACTCTTTTACCCTTATCCATGGTTTTTTCCCACAGGGTTTTTCCTGGAAAGGTTTTTAATGAGGCAGAATATAAGCGCATTAAATCTCTCTTTTTCCCTTATCCATGGTCTAATGAAATGATAGCTGAACACATTACCATCTACATCTCTCTCTAATATTCTCCTTTTTCCTTATTTTCATAAAGCAAACCACATTTTTTAGATAGCTTCAAATACATTATATATATATCGTAAGGATTGGTGGAGGAAGATTTTTGTGGATGATTATACAAAATTCTCATTTTTGATTCATATACCGACCCCACTTTTAGGATTAAAGCTTTGATTGATAAATATATATCAAACATTAATCCTTAAACAAAAATCATAACAAAATACAAAATTCTATGCTTATAAATGACACCGAAAGAACATTGTATACAAATCTAAAATACACGAGCAAAAAAAAATTCAAAACGATTCTCTCCTTGATTTAAGGAACTGATTTGTCATTTATATTCTTTGATTTGAGGATTTGATTTACTATTTATTAATAGAATATTTTTAGTGAATATAATTTCATTTTTTTCATATAAAAACGAGGAATTGATTTTACATAAAGAGAGAAACAATGGTAAATTTTGAATTTTAAAGTAATTTAATGCGCAATTACGAAGTTGATTTTATCGTTCCAATAATGAATCATTTAATAGAAAGATGTAATTGACGAATTCCTTGTTGAGAGAAAGGTTTTCATATTTTTTTTTTAGAAATTCTATAATAGACCCCGGTGTATAATAACTTATTATGCACCAAACCACATGGAGAATAGACCCGGTGTATAACAACCTTGAAGCAATGAAATGGGTGAGAGCTAGGGGAAGGCAAGGAATCCTACTTTTGTCTGAATCTTTGTCCCTTCTAGACAATTTACAGGACAACCCTGATATGGAGATATCGATAATCTGGCTACTGCAGGAGTTAAGGGAAGTGGGGGCTTCATTCCAAAGATGCACGATTTTAAAGGTTCATAGAGATCAGGTTCAAAGGGCTAATGACATTGCAAGGAAATGTCGGCTTACCCTTTCTAATCTGGAGTAATGCTGTTTGGTTTCATTTGCTTTTGTCAAAAAAAAAAAAATATTATGCACCAAACCATCTAGTATATATATCATTTGAAATGTGGTTATATCATACGAAATGTGATTGTATCATTTGAAAAATAATTATTTCATCCAGAAAACTGATTATGTAAATGTATTATTCAAAAAATGAATTTATCATTAAAAAAAGTATCAAACAATAATTATATCATTCGAAAGATAGTTATATCATCCAAAAGATAATTATATCTTCTTACTAAATTGTTTAAAATACGACTATATAATTCAAAATATGACTCACAACAAGAAAATTATATCATCTAAAAAAGTGATTAGTTATATCATCTAGAATGTGACTATATTATTTGTGCGTGTCAAATATTGGGTCTACAATAATTTAATGTAGACCGGGTCCATACAACACTTGTTGATTTTTTTTTTTTTAATCTTTTTTTCCTATGTTTTATTTTTTAAGGTTAAAGATTATGTTATTCATATTATGATGAAGGTTCTTTTATCATTTTTTGAATCCATATTCGTTACAATCATTTCTTAATAGTATACCACATTACACTTACAAACGCAACCAAAATAACCTTTTATAGTTCACACTTGAACCCCAAATTCATCATAGCAACCCTTCTCATCTTTAGCATCAAGTAATCACTTTTAATGTTACTTGCATACTAATTAGATTGCTTCAACTCTTTCCTCATACTCATTACTTCATGCTTCAGTTTGCAATAGCCCCAAAATCACCTCAATTGATCTCTCAACCAGTATGGCTTTTGTATCGACCCATCTAAAGAACTTGCAACCCCTTCTTCCTATTTCTACATCATAGTCAAGGCATGCAAGCAACCTTCTTCCAGAATTGTCCTTTGTCATGCCCTGCTCTAAGACATTAAAACCCCATAATGACATTTGTTTAATATGGAGCAATATATATAAATGCAGTAATAATTTTTTGAGATGCAATGAACATATCCAAACTTTCATACCTCCCTTTAGTTCTACCACACAATTTGATTTCCCTTTTTTTAGCTTAAATACATCACCCAAGCAACAAACATTACTCCATATTTTAAAAACATAAGGATAAGAAGGTTCGAACACCTTTACAAACTCTTAAATGGACCCGGTTCACATTAATTTATTATGGACCACTAACATTAGAGACACTATAATTGTTTTATTAATAAAGATTATTATGTTGAAATAAAAGTCATTTTGGCATTATTAAAGGCTATAAGAGTGGTTTTTTTTTATATATATATATATATATATATATATATATATATATATATATATTGGTCAATATGAATAATTAAAGTCAATACATTAAAATTAAGGTCACTATATTCAACGTAAGGTCGTACTTCAGATTCACAATAATATTAAAGGTCACACAAGTTTTAATAAAGGTTATTCCCTCCGTGTTTTAATAAGTGTTACATTTTGACCGCCACATAGTTTTAGGCAGTTTAATTGACGTAAATAAACTAAGAGGTAAGTGCGGTAGTTGGAGTATTAAAAAATCATAAAAGAAAGATAATGAGGTTAATAGTTTATTGAAAAGTAATGAATGTGAGAGGAAAGATATAATAAAAGAAAAATAGTAGTGGGTTTAGGTGGGGACCATGAAATGAAAGGGATATAATATTTAAATGTAATTTTTTGCCAAAAAAAAAGAAATGTAACATTTACTAAAATACAGGGGGGGTACTATGTTATAAATAAGGTTACTATATTAAAATTAGAGTTACTATGTACAATATAATGTCAGTTATTATGGACCAGGTCCACGCAAGATTTTTCCAGAATCCTCAATCTTTTATAACAAAGATGACTATTTAACCATATAAGCCAACTATCAACTATGTTATTAAAATGTAAAAAAAAAAAAATTATATAAGTGTAAACCACAAGGTTCAATTAAAAAAAAAATACTTAAAGAATAACTCAGTTTTGGTTTGACAATGACAATGACAATTACAATTTTGAAAAGCCTTTTAAAAAATTTATCAATTGCACATCTACAATAGTACTACAATAAGTCTTGTATAAGGTGGGTTTATGTTAATTTTACTGTAAGACCGTCAGTTTGAGAGTAACTTTAACTATTTTTATGGTAACTTGAACCCCTTAAAGAGTAATTTTTAATTTGTTGTTGATTTGAATTTTATTCTAATGTGTAATTTCTTATAGATTCATGATTACATACTGTAAAGGCTAATATGATTAATCTAATACATTATAAGTGTTTTGTAAGCTAAAATTTACTATTAGAAAAATAATAACTTTTATAGTATAAAGGGTAACTTTAAATACTTTTAACATAACTTCAATCCGTTTTGCAATAAATTAACATACACCCGCCTTTTTAGAAAATTTGTGACGATAGCAACCTGGGGCAATGCTCGGGCTACTCACTAATTTGTAATAATAAGGGGATGGTATTTTTCTCTTCATCTAGATCAAGTCTCTTTTTTATGTGTATTTTTGTTACTCTTCTAATAGTTGGTATCTCAAAAATAGACAAAGTCATACATCCTACAAAAAATTAGTGAGAAGCTGAGATATAATTTGGGCCCTCACTCCTCTAGCTATAGCAAAACCTATCTTAGTGAAGATATGAGCAGCAGCACGTGCCCCAATGTCCTGAGTCTTCGAGAACTTCTGGATCCGCTTCAGTAATGCAACAACCTCCCTTTCTAATTCCCCAAGTGAAGAGAAAGAGAAAGGAAGGAAGCTATATCCAATTGCTCGACAACTGGATTCGTACTTGACTCGCTTCCGATGGGCCGCATCAGCCACAACTCGTATACTGTGTCAAAGGAGAAGACCCTGCCAAGTTAACACAAACATCGCGACCACGATCCCATGAATAAAGTAACACATCTGTAGGTCTGAGGGCCCCATCGTTCCCTCCGGACAACCCAATGTCCACCTCCTTTCTAGCTGAAATCCCTGACCGATAGCAAATATCAACAAGGGTATCCCGAACAACATTATGCCGATATTTAACGCCCACAATATCAGAACAAGACACCGCATGATCACCGAAAATATCCCCAGTAAAAACCCTTGAACAAGCAGAGCATGGTGTCATGATAGAGAATAGTGGAACACCCAACCGGTAGCACAACACACATCGGTATTATTATTATTATTATTATTAATGGCCATATCTTTTTTTTTTCCTAATCAATATTATGAGTTGATTCAAATTGGAAATCAAATTTCATCTCAAGAGGTTTCTAACGTTTGGTCACATGCTTTTTTTTTTTTTTTTTTTTTTTTTTTTTTTTTTTTTTTTAATTTATGAGTAACGAAAAAGTAATTATAGTCCAAAATGAAGTTGTTTTGATTAAAGCATAAGTTATGGGCTGATGTAAGCACGCTGCACGCTCGCGCCAAAAGTGGCACGTTTGTGTTGGTATGCAGAGGGGTTTGAGTTTTACATATACATTAATCTCCTCATCCTTTATTTATTTGTTGTGGACTTGTGGTCAATTTGCGGTTAAATTGTATTCATCGTCGTTTTTCGGCTTGCCATTGTCATTTAAAACTTTAAAAGTTGAGGTCACTATTTGAAGCTTCACCACCACTGGAATTAGTTGCTCGCAACATCGGCAACCAGTCGGCCACCACCTCCTTATGGCTTGGGTGTTCAGTTTGCTGTCTTGGTTTATCTTCTTAGATAAGTTATTGTTTTAACTTCTTTAAAAAGTTTTAAATTTCATAAGAAGAGATTTCGTATTACTTTAACTTCTCTGAGAAGTTTTGTTGTCTTCTAGCAAACCCGACCCACGTAATCGAATTGGCACTTTTAAACATAAATAGAGTGTTTTAGTGCAATAATTCATTTCATCCGTAGCCGGCGACAGACACATGTTCATAGTCGTACGGCCTAGTTCCCGCCATTTTTTCCCACCTTCATCCTCAAAAATCCTTCGACATTGTCGAATGTTGAAAATCTCTCCTCTTTCTTCCTCTTGCTTTCTCACTCTTCGCCCACTCAACACCACCATTTTCTCCTCCACTTTCTCTCTCCTCAATTTCCCTATAAATTTCAAGCTTCGAGCCATGTCTTCTACTCCTCCTTCTTCTACTCCACCCTCTTCTACTCCTCCTTCTTCTTCTTCCGTTTTGGCAGCTATGATGGACAAAGCTCGAGAATCTTCTAAGAAGAAAACCCCATCCCCTAATAAAAAAAACCCCAAAACTTCTTCTTCTTCCCCAAAGAAACGAAAAACCCTAGACCCATCTCCCCCAATTCCAGAAAACCCTAACCCCACTTCGATTTCTGTTGAGAAACCCCAAGAATCCAATTCAGTGGTAGAAATGGGTACCCAAAAGCCTGAATTGAAAAACCCTTTTGCCAAGAAACCTAAGGTTGATCTTAATGTGGATGAATTTGTTGCTAATTTGAAGATTAAACCGGCGAAATTCGAACCCAATTTGGCGGCGTGGTGGGGGGATGGTGATAAAGTTCCTTTTCTTTTTCTTGCTAGGGCATTTGATATGATTAAAGGCGAATCCGGTAGGATTGTGATTACTGATATTACTTGTAATGTGTTGAGGACTGTCATTGCAAAGACTCCTGATGATCTTTTGGAGGTTGTTTATCTTTTGGCCAACAAGATTGCTCCTGCTCATCAAGGTTTGGAGCTCGGAATCGGTGATGCTACGCTTATTAAGGCGCTTGCCGAGGCTTGTGGAGCTACTGAAGCAAATGTTAAGAAGTTGTACAAGGTAATGGCTTGTGATATATCTGCTGGTTTATTCTTGTAATGTAGATGCATTTTGTTGTATCTTGTATGGCAAATTATGCATGTTTTAGAGATAGTTTTGACTTTTGATTACTATGTGTATATGTGTGACTTTATGATGATAGAACTAGGTCTGTATGCATGAAAGTTGTGCAAAAATAACTGGGAAGAAAGAACTCCTATGATGGTTTAGAATGTAGAACTATGGTGGTTCTTGGTTGTTAAAACATTTCTAAGGGTTTGTTAAGTTGCATTCTGTGTCTTTATCCATCCTTGATTGTATTTGTTATTGTATTGCATTGACAGGATTTAGGTGATCTCGGGGATGTCGCCAAAGAAATCCGTTCTAAGCAAAGTATGATGCGGCAACCTCCACCACTGACCATTACCAAAGTATTTAATACATTCCAGCTCATTGCCAAGGTGGAGTGTAATTCTTATGTTTTAGCTACATTTCATATGATCTTTTCATTGCATAATAGTTTAAGTGGGAAAATGAATTTTGATGGTTTTTCTATTGTCTAATATCCTCATTTTCTTCCTTGTGGCTCTGAAATAATAAGGTTTGATCTTTTGATTAGAATTAAAGTGGAGATCTATTGGTGATTGATGATTTTTACCTCACCTCTATAGTCATCTTAATTGCATTTGTTTGTCATTTCTATAGGCATCCGGGAAGGATAGTCAAGAAAGGAAAAAGAATTATATCAAGTCACTTATTGTGGCTGCCAAAGATTGTGAACCTGTTTACTTGATGCGGCTACTTCAGGTTTACATGTGGATTCAAGTGCAATTAATTTATGTTTAAATATGTATTTCCAATTTTCATAATTATGTTGTTTTCAGGCAAAATTGCGGATTAGTTTGGCAGAGAAAACTCTTCTTGTTGCCCTGGGACAAGCTGCTGTGTATTCCGAAGAGCATTCAAAGCCCCCGTCAGATATTCAATCTCCACTAGAAGAAGTAAGTGGTGTCTAGATGAGATCTTATATCAGCACTTTGTATGGCATCAAGATGGTATTTTGACTTTGTTGATTATTGTTTTGCTGTTGTGTTCTTTGTTGACCCACTGAGATATTTAGCTGCTATTAGATGTTTGTGAACAAATTTTACTTTCTACTGAATTATAGGAAATGTATGCTACTTTCCAAAGGTCATGGTATTTGTCAGTAATAGTGAATACCCACATTTTTCTACTCAGTGGCTGATATACCGAAATAGGAAACACAAAAAAAAAAAAAAAAAAAAAGAAAAAAGAAAAAAAAAAAACAGGAGGATTATTTTTTTACATACACCTATTTCTGGTGCATTTCCTCTTCATAAATTTATTTGACATATCATCTTACTAAAAATGGATGGCTGCATATCTAGTCTCCATTAACTCTGTCTTGAACTCTGGTTCATTGAGAATGTGGTTTGGACTGTTGAATTTTTCATGGAAACTCTGAAGCTCTTAGATATGAGCAGTTTTGGTTTTGAATATTTCTACATTGCTTATATGTTTTGCTTTTGTAATAAACTTGTTTGCTACATTATGATTTCTTCATGGAGCTTAATGCTGCCTTTTGCACAAGTTTCATAGATTCTTTTTATGCAAACTGATTACTTTTATGTCTTAATGTTTTTGATCTATCCTCATGAATTCCTCTTGACAATTTCGAATTTATCTGTATCAGGCTGGAAAGATTGTCAAACAAGTATACTCTGTGGTTCCTGTGTATGATAAAATTATCCCTGCCCTTCTCAGTGATGGTGTATGGAATCTATCAAAGACCTGTAACTTTACACCAGGTGTTCCTATAGGACCTATGTTAGCGAAGCCAACAAATGGAGTTTCAGAAATTATAGATAAGTTTCAAGATATGGTATTTACTTGTGAATACAAGTATGATGGAGAACGTGCTCAAGTAATTTCTGTGTGCCTTTTCTCAATTTCTCCGATTATTGTAATTACTTAGGTATAGTATGTTAGTTGCCATATCCTTTCTCGGTGCCAAGGGTCTGAAAGAATGAGTCCTCTGCAAATGATGTTTTGAACTTATATTGTCTGCTAATTAAATGCAGATTCATTTCATGGAAGATGGTTCTGTTGAGATATACAGCCGAAATGCTGAAAGGAACACGGAGAAATTCCCTGATGTCGTTACTGCTCTTCCAAGGTACTTATCTGCGATGTAGTTCTTCTCTTGTTTGAATACTCAAGAGAGTGGAAGGGGAGAACCGAAGAAAGAGTACGGAAACGGGTACATTTAATTGTTAGGAATTATTAGAAACAATAACAGGCAAATATCAACGTAGTTGAAGAAATTCAGGTTCTCTCAAAAAAATAAAAAATTAAAAGTTGAATAAATTCAGGTTTTAAGGATTGGCACCTTATCAAGAGGCTACAATCATTAGCTGATGTTAGAGCATTTTTACAAAATTCTAGATTTACTTGTAGCCTCTATCAGTCATTACTGCTTTTTTCTGATTTTTTTTTTTTTTTTTTGACAGGATGCTTTTTTCTGATTAAAAACCCTTTCTTTTTATTATTTCCGATGATTGTAACTATGGCTGGCTCTCCTCAGCTTTCTTTTTACCTTATTTTTTTTGCAGGAAAAAACTTGATTGGCTGAAATAAAAGACCTTATATTTGCTTAATTGTTTGCTTTTGCAGAAGTCAACCTATTTTCTGAACTTATTTTAGCTGAACTTTACTTGTATTACTGAACTTTATTTTGTTTTTTTTTTTTTTTGGCTGAACTCTAACTTTAAACCTGTTTTACTAAATATATTTTTACTTGACTAAACTTATTCATGCTGAAACTTAATAAAATAAGCTGAGGGGAATGGATCCTATGCTCTATGTGGTTGTTGCATCATTTGGTGCTCAAAAGCTTATTGTGTATCCTTACTTCTGTGATCTTTTAGGAGTTACCTTGCGTAGCTTCATAGGCTGAGCCTTCTTGTAACGTTGTTACTTGGAATTCCATGTTTTATATGAATGTTTCACTGTTGAGCTTGCTATGCCTACATTATGGGGTTGTAAAGTGGCATTTCTTTTTTCTCTTGGCTTCTTGGCATCAAAATTCATATTATTGACACTTATGGTTCATGGTTTCATCTTTTAACTGATTTCTAATAATATCAAGCCTTTTAGTATTTTGATTTTGATTTATCTTGATGACTTGCAGACATGTTGTATATTATCTTCTTTATAATTTTTCTTAAGATTAAAGATGCTTTAATCTACATTTATGCTTACAAAATCATTGGTTGTTACTGTGCTTTACTGTTGTTTTCCAGATTCAAGAAGCCATCAGTAAAGTCTTTTATTTTGGACTGTGAAATTGTTGCTTATGATCGTGAGAAGCAGAAGATTCTTCCTTTTCAGGTATTGGATCATTTGGAAGAATTTATTTGCATTCTTTGTAGTATGGGCGGTGTATGGCAGCCTTTGTTCCTCAGATAATAAGCTATAAAATGAGGCATAGAGTAGCTGCTGTATTATGGATGGCTACATCAATGGTTTTGTTATTGCATATCATTCATTCTTTACAGCTCATGCTCTTTTATAAAATGAACCCTTCAGATGGCACTCATTAATTTGAATTTTTAATTTACTATGCAAGGCTTAAAATGATGAAGCAGAATAATAACAATGTTCGAAAATGAATTCCTGATCTTATTGGCATTCCTATCATCATTATTGGACTTTTCCTTTTTCCTCACTTTTATATGATTATATCAATTCCGAAGTAACTTATTTGAGAATACAATCACAAACAACCTTTATGTTTTAGCTGTACTCTGACTCAATTTATAATAACTGTTGATAATGCTTAAGGTTGCTATCATAAATCTTTTTATCAATTGTTTCCCTCTGTTAAGTTATGGATTCTGTATAATTTTTATCCTAATACTATTTTGGTGGTGGTTCTAGATACTTAGCACCCGAGCTCGCAAAAATGTCAAAATGAGTGAGATAAAGGTTGATGTTTGTGTCTTCGCTTTTGACATATTGTATTTGAATGGAATGCCACTTCTCCAGGAACAGCTTAATGTTCGTAGAAAGGTATTCTCATGTTGTATGCTTACTGTCTTCAGTACATCAATCTTTCTTCCTCTATTCTTTATTAATTTGTGCATTCTTTATTTACATTGAGTAACAAAGATTGTAATAATATTATGCTGCAAGCTGCTTCGTTAAAATTCTTTAAGGCCATTATATTCTGAAATGGTTGCATCATAGATTTTAGTAATTTGAAAAATAAAAAGTTAGCTACCTAATACTCACATAGCTGTAAGTTTAATCCAGCAAATAAACTTAGAGTATGTCAAGAATATTGGTTTGCTATAGGGTTTTGAATTGAATAACCCAGCATCAATATACTAACACTTACTCTCTTTGCCCAATTTTTTTGTTCCAATATTTCTCTTGGGGTGCCCAAAGCAAGATTTTGTAGCAATAACTTAAAGAACAATATTAGAGCACCTCAAATAGAAGACAGGTGTAGCATAAAAAGTTTATTAAATGACTCTTGCCTTTTGGTACTATAACGCTTCTAGATGACTCTTGGCTTTGAAACTAACACTTCTAGATCTTGATCTTCTCATACGTCCTCTTGGTGCGATCTTCATTGGTTATTTTATTGTAACTAAGCTTATAAGAAGCCCTTCTGTCTGCAACCAGCATGAATAATTGAATATATGTATGAGCAAGAGGTAAGGGTTGTCAATCTCATAAAGATTGCACTCAAAAAGGGCAAGGGAAAACCAAGTAAGAAAAGGCCAGATTAAATATTTTTGGTTACGAGTTCTTTAAAAATCCCAAGAATGCTGAATTATCCTACTGTGTTTGATTTCTCTATGGGGATATATGGTCACCCTGGAGTTGGGGGTGTTCTGGGAGGGTTAAATGTAGACACTTTCTTGTGAGGACATACCACAACAGTATTCCCAAGCAAAGTTTACAAATTTTATAAATGTCTGATAAGTAGAAACGTAAAATGTACTTAAGGCTTTATAATTATTGGAAAAATTTCTTGAATTAATGTGTTTTTCTGTTCTGAGAGCATCTACATTGGTTAGAAATTTAGCTCCCCATTTGACAAAAAGTAAAAGTGGGGACCTTCCCACCATTGGTACTAGCTCCCCATCCATCTCTTTAATTTGGGGAGGTTAATAATATTGGAACCCTCCCAAAAGTAAAGTGGTCCCATTTTACACTATAAATTATTTTGTTAATATTACTGGGGTAGGAAAGTAGGAGGGAGAAAAGGTGGTGGGGTATGGAAAAATAGGAGAGAGAAAGTAAATGGGAAGGTTAATGAATGTATGTATGGAATTGTGAAATGGGAAGGGTATGTGATAAAGTTAGTGGAAAGTGATGTGGACTAATAAGGTGAGGAGAGAGAAATTATGGGGAGCCTAATGGATGTGGATGCTCCGATACTCTTTGTGTTTTGGTTCTATATATTTAACTTAGCCTGTTGTGTATACTGCAGCATCTTTATGATTCATTTGAGGAAGATTGTGGATATTTTCAGTTTGCGACAATACTCACATCTAATGATATCGAGGAAATACAGAAGTTTCTTGAAGCATCTGTCAATGCGAGGTAATCTCCTTCATGCAACTTTTGTAGACTGTCTGTAGACAAAGCTCTTAAATGTGAAAGAATTAAAGATATGACCTCTATTTCCATTTAGCAGAAGAGAATAAGTTTTATTTACACACATATTATGAGAAAATCTCTCCTGTGACCTTAGCCATGGCTCTCTTTGTAGTTGAAATTTATGTTACATCTTTTTGCAGCTGATGTTTCAGTATTAGAGTAAAGAAATGTCCTTGACTAGACCTGGCAATCTTGACCCAGACCCGATGACCCGAAATCAACCCGACCCGACCCATACCCGATCCGAAGTGGAATTGACCCGACCTTGACCCGAAACGACCCGTCCCGAAATAACCCGACCAGAAGTTGACCCGAGACCCGAAATGACCCGACCCAAAGTTGATCTGTGACCCAAAGTGACCCGAGACCCGAGACCCGAACTTGACCCGACCCGAAGTTGACTCGATACCCAAAGTGACCAGACCTTTAACTTGAATTAATTGACCCAAATAGACTCGAAACCCAAAGTGACCCAAACTAAGATTACCTTATATTTGAAATGACCAGAATCTATTTAAGCTAACGATTTGACCTAAGCAAATCGAAATAGAAAATAACCGCAATCAAACTGACTTAATTTTTTTTTTTTTAACTTGTAATGTGTAACAGTGTAAGTAATTTTCATATTTTGAGCATTACTTTTCTCAATTTCTTCGGCCTTTTCTCTTTATAAATTATTAAAAATTCGTAAAAAGATTGAAATTTAACGACTATTCTATGGAGTTTGTCCATAAGATGAGAAAAAATTTACTAAAGCTTGAAATAAAAGTCACAATTCTCACAAGTCTAGAAAAAAAAAATAGTACAATAATAATGAGTACATAATGTTCAATACCAAATGAAATTACAAAATATTCTAAATAATTATACTCCAATATTCGACTCTTAAAATTGTTGTTGACAATTAACACTTGGAGCCGCCGCCCAATCCACATAAGAACCAAAAAATCCATCATCCTTATTTGCTACATAAATATAAAAACAATAATATAAGCAAATACACTATAAATGATAAGATAAAGAAACAAGAATGTACAACTCTAAACAAGAATGCAGGAATATGAATAATACTTACTTTCAAAAGAGTACATCCAACTACGAGTTGTTATTAAAGCCTCCACATTTTCAGGAATTGATGAACTTTTCCATTTATTCAATACTTGACTCAAAGTTGATTCGGAAGCGACGGTTGTCAATGGCACGGCCAAAATATCTCCAGCCAAATGAGAAAGGCCTTTATATCGATGCTCATTTTCTTTCCTAAAAGCTAATATGTCAAGCTCCGCTTTCCGATCTAGTTTAGGGTCCTCAAGGTAAACATCCATCCAATATTGACCTCTCATCAAAAGAAGATGAGGCCTCTTTATCGTCATATTCTTGAATTCAACACAACAAGTCAACGACAAACCATAAAACACATCACCAAACAAAACAACATAAACTTAACTTGTAATCTTAATAACAACTACTTAACTTATAACATAAACTTAACTTATAATCTTAATAACAACTACTTATAATCATAAAAAAAAACAGTAATTGATAGAAAAAATAAAGTAAACACAAGAAAAATTGAAGGCAAATATGTAAAAATCAGTCTAATCAATAGATTAAGAATGAAGGATAATCAAAAGGATTATAATTGACAGAAAAAATAAAGTAAACACAAGAAAAACAGAAGGCAAATATAAGTTAACTGCCAAATAGCCGGGTATTATAACTAGTAATTTCACATAATGACCTACTAAAATTATTTAAACTCAGGTGGTGTGGTTACATAAGTGCTTCTTAGTTTTTCCTCAACTTTAATATGAGAAAGTCACAAGGGTCCAACTTTTTGACTTTCCCAAAAAAAAAGCAGAGAGAAGAAAAAGTGTTGAAGTAGAGTAGAACATCATGTAATAGGATGAGTGACAAAATCTATAACAAATAGAAAAAACAGGCAAAAGCAATTGGGAAGGCAATCTCCCATCACATGGAATCGAGAAGAAATAAAGTAATTTTCTAATGAAGTTCCAAGAAAAAGAGTTGAGGTCGTCACAACAGAGTACAAAACATAAAGGCTTGGCAATTAAAAAAAAGTACGGAGTACTTTTCAAGTATCTTTAATTAATCCCAGCTACAACGTCAAAAAGCTCAGAATACCTCTTCACAACAAGCTAGTATATAACTTCTAATTCTAATAAAGTAAAAAAGAGTAGACGCATCAACTTGCCCAAGTTTTCAGGGTCAATAGATCTTTTCTACAAAAGCTTTAATATAGGCATACAAATACAGAATAACTCTCTCCATTTACTAGCCAACATGCTAAAAGATCCAAGCATAAGTAATTATGATAGGCTTTAATCCTAATAAGGATTTGAAGGGTTTGTCAAAAGCTGATGTTTAAAAAGGAGGCAAATTATGCTTAAATTGTTTCAAGTTCCTGAGAACGGCTAAAAGACATGCACAGATGTCAAAATAAAATAACAGAAGAACAATTACCGCAAAATAGTAGAATTTTCGCTTGCGGTTTCCAGCTGAAGTGCTGCTTATGGAGGCTCTGGAATGTGAGGCATGTGCCATATCAGTGTTGTTGTTCAATCTCGATGATGATGTTCCGGTTTGGGCATATAGCTTATAAAATTTCTCCAACTTAAGATGGAGATCACTAACTCTTATGGTAGCCTCAACATCTCCAAATATGTTTTCATAACAAACTTTAGCACTGATAATTTGCAACGAGGATCAAGAATCATAGCAAATGCAAATAACATGCCATAATCATCTTGTTCTGAGGTAAACCAATACTTATCAAACTTGCTCTTCATTTCTATTGCCATTGTCCTCAAAACATCATCATCATCGTGCTCCAACTCTATTAAAAGCATGAGAATCTTCCAAACATTCCCAAAATAAAGATTTGAGGTAGGATACTCACTTCCCGAGAACATCTTAGTTATCTCATAGAAGGGTTCTAAAACATCTCGAATCTTCTCAAGAACATCCCACTCTTCAAAGGTAGGACACCATTTTTGAACTTCAGACATCTCCCTAAAAGCCTCACGATATAAGATAGCCCTATCAAGCATCATGTACGTGGAGTTCCACCTCGTAGGAATATCAAGCCACAATGATTTTGTTTTTTTTTTTCTTAGCTAGACTTACACAAGATCGAAAAGTGTTTTTTCTTGTTTCAGAATATTTTATCTTCTTCACACAATGTCTTACTTTCTCAACTATATGTTCAATGATCTTAAGTCCATCTTTAACAATGAGATTTAATACATGTGCAACACATCGTACATGAAAAAACTCATCATTATACAACAAAGCATTTCGTGCAAGTAGAGTTTCCTTCAAATAATCTTGCATTCTATCATTACTGGATGCATTGTCTAATGTGAAGCAAAAATCTTATCATCAATTCTCCAATCTTGAAGCATGGGCAACAGAGCAGCATACATGGTCTTTCCGGTGTGTGGTGAATCAATAAGACTAAAGTCAAGCATTGTACTAATTAATTTCCAATTATCATCTACATAGTGAGCTGTTAGAGACAAATATCCCTCAGTTTGACAAGAGAGCCTTCAAAGTTTTATGCATTTTTAAACAATCAGCTTTAGCAGTGTTCCTACAAATGAATTTTACATCATCACTTAAATATGCATGAATTTCTCTATTACCATCATGCTCACCCCAAGAGAAAGCATACCCATGTTTTATTATGGCTTTAGCTACCAGATTTCTGTACACAATTTGGTTAAAGATTTTACCTTTGTTTGAATTGTTTCCTCGGTTTTTCAAATATTTCTCATATGCACTGCATTTTCGTAGATGTCTTTGCATATTTTGGGTTCCATAATGGGGGTCGGTTATGAAGGATGCTTTTTGGCAATGTTTGCAAATTGACCTCTGTTTCCCATCACTAGATTCTATCTTGTCAAATATGAGGAATTCCCGCCAAACTAGACTCCGTTTCTTTTCTACAGCTTGAAATCCAGATTCCATAGTGCTCACATTGTTGATTTCAACTGTAAGTTCAGGATCACCGGCTTCTGTACACCATCCTCTGTTCCCTCTGGTGAAATAATAGGCTCGTCGTAAATAATATGATCATCCATTGCTGCAAAAAAAGCAAGAATAATATCATTAGTTATTGTCAGATTAAGATAAGGTGTGCAGTGGGAAAAGCAACCTTCTGTTTTTAAAGATGAAGATGTAATCAATTATTCCATGAAAAAAAAGGGAAACAGCAAAAACAAAGGGGTCTTGATGGTCATAGAGAAACCTAAAAGAGTTTGGAATAACTTCTGATCATGATGAAAATATGGCAGAATTGATTGCCAATCATTAGGATATGAAATTCTAACACTGAAATAGGTTCATATTTCGACAGACAATGCAGTGAGAACTGAGAACCACATAAGTAGTTCAGAGCTAAACAATTATGACTAGTTGAGAAGCAGTTTAGTCATACGATGCAAGAAAGGAAGCTTTCACAATCCCAATTCAAGCTACTTTATCTGGGCATACATATACAAAGTTTTTGAGCTATGAAAAAACCTTAACAGTCTCTTATTCAAGAAAAATGGGATAAATATTATACTCAAGAACCCTAAATTGGCTATCTTTTCAAAAAGCTTAAATCTGATAATCTGAAATTAAGCTCTAAATTGAGACATTGATTGATATTCAATAATCTAAAAAGAAAATCTTTACTTCAAAGGCTGGCTTCAATGGAGGAGAGAAAGCTTAGAAGGCGCTGAGGGAATGGAGAACCACATGCAAGCCAAATTAAGCGCACCTCAAGTACATGAAGCTCGTGAATTGGCTTCCTATTAGTGAAAAAAATTGCAAAATCAAAACCTAATCTCAAAGTATCAAATTAACATCAATCAATCACAAAACTTGAATTGAAAATCATAAAATTTGAAACAAAAAACCGCAATAAAGAAGAGGAAGATAGAAAGAGGGAAACCTTGCCTTGCTGGAGCACTTGAGATCAGATGAGTAGCATAAGATTAGAGAAGTCAGAATAGTGAAGACAAAAGAGAGAGTGAAAACGGTTGTAGGTTTTTTTTTTCCTTGTTTTTTTTTAGGGAGTGTAAATTCGTAATTAGGTTTTTTTTTTTCCTATTGTTTTACTTTTATTTTTGTTTTTTGTATTTTAGAATTCTTTACTTTTACTCTTGGAAATTTGGAGGGAGTATTCCCGCTAACAATTTTGGAGTTTTAGCCATTTGGGGGGAAGAATTTCCCACAATTTTTTAACCAAGTTAAATGTTTTATTTTTGTTTTCCTCTTAAATTTTCACTTTTAAGTTGTAACTTTGTTAAAATTTCATCTTATATCTGAATATGAGAATATTTCACTTAATTAATAATACCTCCGTTTTTTTAAGTTGACACATTTTGACTTTATTCACACACTTCTCTTTAACCGTATTTTGTGTTTTATATGTAGTGAAAAATATAGTCATGTAGGATCTTGTAACATTCGTCACGGTATTTATTTTCAAAATATCAACTTTTCATAACTTTTTATTATCGGTGATTAAGGATATGAATGGCTGAAGTTAAGCATTAGCAAACGTGACTAAAGAAACGTGTCAACTAAAAAGAAACGGAGGAAGTATCATATTGTGTTGTGCACCAATTACCGTTATTATAAGTTTATAACTGAATAAATTTTTGTTTTTATAAATATAAATATCAATATATAATGCACGATAATGATCTTATATTCAATCAAAAATTAACATTCATTTATTACATTAGTTTAGTTGTTTAATTGAGTAGTAGATAGATACAAGCATATTTGCATAACTGCAATACTTCATAATTCATTAGTTCATAATATACTAATACTCTAATAGTGATGAGACGCCCTATGAACTTATGAAGTAATTTAGACGCGGAGAGTCGGAGACTGAGCTATTAAGTAGCCCGAAAATGGTTTAATCTATCTTATCAAGTTTGAATTTGAGATCAAATTACCTTGAATAGGAAAAACCTTGTTATGAGTTTCGTTTGAAAAAAATTAATTGGAATCGGATAGGTTTACAATAATGTTGTTAATCAACTTTATAATAACATTGTGTGTCGTTTTCCACCCTTATGTTTAAGTACTTGATCACATATGTTATTATACATTAAAGCATGTAATTTTAAGAACTAATTACAAGCGAGTTTAAGTTGACTTGTTTGAATTCCTAATTAACAATGAATTTTTATCAAACGAAGCATGTTATAATCTATTTTTGATTGAATCGATCACAAAAATAAAATTGAGTATATGTTGGCTGGTTTGACCTCCTAATTTACAATTTATCAGTAAATTTAATTTCAAACAAAGCATGTCATAACATATATCTGATCGAATCGGTTAAGAAAAGTTCACAGTTCGAGTAAGTGTACTTGGCGACTTGGCGTCCATCCACGCTACTACTCTTTAAGTCTTTATTAGAAAAAAAAATATAGTCTTGTCACTCTTGTGTCATTGTGTGTACTTGTTGAAATCGCCACCACAATAAATATTTTAAGAATATTCAATTGGTAAAATTCTATAATGTAAATTACTGATAATTATAATAGGAAATCTATTATTGATCAATTTCCTTCACGGCATGCCTGCATACAAAGATTATATTATAGATTAAAATTTATGGAGCACTTAAAAAACATAGGTTATATTATAGATTATTATAAGAATAATACAAAGAAATTATTACAACATTGAACAGTGACAATGATAATAAGAGTATTAAAACTAAGGTCAATAAGAGAGTGAGGTATAACTCAATTAGTTAGAGCATCCCTCTTTGTTTCCGGAGATCCTGAAATTGATTCTCAATCTAAACACCAAAAAAAAAAAAAACAAGGTCAATAAAATTCTAACAATTACTATATGAGTATATTCCATGAAAAAAGTAGCCTTAATATATATAGTGAGTTTCTCGTCAAAAAATAAATAAATATATGTACAGAGTTGAATCTAACCCAATGCATCGACCCGAACCGAAGTTTACCCGACCCAAAGTTGACCCGAAATTTGCACCCGAAAATTGACCCGACCTGAACTGACTCGACCCGAATTGTTGACCCGATACCCGACCCGACCCAATTATCAGTCGACCCGAACTTGACCCGATAACTATCCGACCCGAACTTGACCCGATCCATACTCGACCCCAGGTCTATCCTTAACTTTGTTCCAAGGCTACTATGAGTTGGTCCAGAGTGTGATTTCATTGTTGCTCATGTGCCTTTCGATTAACAACGGTAAGCCTTTGGTAGTCATCAATACAAGATGACTCCTAATGGCTATTCAGATTTTAACTGTCTTTTTCTTCATGCTGCATTTTGAGCCTCTAGATGTGTTTATTGTGCTTTAAACTTCGAAGTGGTTGTAGAAGTATATGCAGTTCTGTATTCTATTCGTTTTGTTCCTACCTTCGACATTTATCTTTTTTTTTTTTTGGTCTAACCTCTTTTTTTCTTTTTTCTTCCCTGTTTTACAGTTGTGAGGGGTTGATTATCAAAACATTGGAAAAAGAGGCCACCTATGAGCCTTCAAAGAGATCTAATAACTGGCTTAAATTGAAAAAGGATTACATGGACAGGTAAGAACATAATTTTCTTGATCAGTATCTATCATTTCATCCTCATTGACATTCTACAAGAACTACAGATGGAAATTTTGGATGATTTGCCACATATACTGAAACTATTATACTACAGTAGATTTAATTGTGCTTTGCTAGCACGTTGCAGTTACCTGAAAGCTAAAGTGGAGCTTCAAGAGATATCTTATATCTTTAGGTGATATCTGTTTGTTAGAAATAATTTTTATGGACACATTCGATGTTTCTCTATTAACAGTTCCTAGAAAAGTGCTATGAAGAAGCAGGAACTTCATTTCAGAAGTTTGGCTAAACAAAGCTTACTTATATACTACCTCCGTTAATTATTGTGTGCAATTTTGGAATTTTTATATCTCACAAATAATAACCCAAAGTTACACATAATAATTAACGGAGGTAGTATATAAAATTTGGTTCTAAATCTAGGAAAATTTGTGAGAAACTACCTATTTTGTATCATTTATTTTTAAACAATTCCTCTATCACTCTTCCCACTTTCCGTTTTGGGCTCCTATAAGCTCTTCCCACTCTTGCTTTATTCCTTTTTGCTAATTGTTTTTTCCCTTCTTATCCTCTCTTGCACCACTTGTGGGACCCACTTAATTCTACACTCTCACAACCACGTTCTCCCTCCTATTTAAAAAACAAAAAAGGACTGACTTCCACTCTCTTCTCAATTCATTGGTAAGTGTTGGTAGAGGAAGTAGGAGGGGCTATGGATGTCGGAGTATGTAAAAGTGCTTCTTCTTTTTTAAAAAAAACAACCTATTATCATTTTTTTGGTTTTGGTATCACTCTTAAAGTCTTAATTGACATAAACCACCGATGATTTTGCCCGAGTGCCCCACTTCTAAGCTTTTCCACATGCACTAACATCCTAACTTACTAATCTACCCATGGATTGACCGATGGAATAATGGGTGGATTCCGTCAACCGGTAGCGTTACCAAACTAAAAAAAAGTTAATAAAAGGTATTATTTTTATTTATTTATTTGTTTTTAATTTTTTTTAAAATTTAATATAATTAGTTAGTTATTTCCAAAAGAAGTGCAAAATAGGTTGTACTCCCAAGATTTCTTAAAATATACTAAATGTGAATGTTATATTTTAAAAAACGAAACATATCCTTTTGTCATTTCACTCAGCTAAATCAACAGTTAATTTTACTAACACTTCTAATTCATTCAGCTCAGGAGCTCTCAGTTTTTTCAGCTAGTTTTTGCAAACAAAGGCCTTGAAAGAATTGGAGTGTGATTTAGCTAGCTAGTGAACCTGGTTGAACCTGAATTTATTCACCCCCCCCCCCTTCCCCCTTCCAGTTTGTCCTCTTTTTAATTTGCTTATATTATTCATTCAGCAGTGTTGGAGACTCTCTGGATCTGGTGCCTATTGGAGCATTCCATGGCCGTGGGAAACGAACAGGTCGAGATTACATTCATCTACTTATTCTTCTTTTTGCCATATCTGCTATACATATGAAATATGCTCCGCCTCATATAATTTTTCCTTCAGGTTTGAGTCAATTTAATTCACCCATTTTGCTGAACATCTGTGTCTGGATAGTGGATATGAATCTTAGACACATGACTACACTAATAATCCTGTTTATTTAATTAGTCTTTTCAGTAAAAAGGCAGTAAATTAAATATACATGCTCTTTCATTTGTTTCTGCTTCCGTTCTCTTTGTTATTCTCTTATCTGTAGGGTTATATCTTGAAATGAGATGCCTTTTCGCATAGTTTGTTACATCTTTGAAAATCCTTGCAAACCGATGCTTTTTTTTCCTTTTCTACCAAGGCCTGGGTCGTCTGATATAACTTAAATTTGCAGGTGTTTATGGTGCTTTTCTTCTTGCTTGCTATGACAGTAACAATGAAGAGTTCCAGAGCATATGCAAGATTGGTAATGTGTTAATGTTAATTTGTGGCTACTGTAAGTTGTTTATATGCATTTCATTTGCATTGTCTTAATGTTTGTGTTTGCTGGACATTCATCTGTCACAGGTACTGGTTTTTCTGAGGCAGTGCTTGAGGAACGTTCTTCCAGTCTTCGATCTAAAGTGATTTCGATTCCTAAGGTCCTCATTTCTCCCCTTTTTGCGTAATTCTTTACTTGGTTTAGGGACTTGAAACACTTCATGTGTTAATTTCATGTCTTTGATGTATACAGACATACTTTCGGTATGGAGATAACCTGAAACCGGATGTCTGGTTTGAGCCCTCTGAGGTAAATTTCCAAACAATCTGTCATACCTGTTATTGATTGAGCACCTATTATAAATGCCAAATATGTTTGCTCTCTCCAAACTGTAGAGGATGCACTTAATAGGCATTCTCTTTTTGGTTTTGAATGGAAACATCACTTTATATGCTTGGTTGCTTGATTCAATTTTCTGGATATGGGATGTCATACTTTTTCCCTTCATATCTCTCCTTTCCTAAAATGAAGATCTGTTTTCTAGTAGCCTTTATATCCTGTAATGCGATATCCTTTATCTTTTAATTAAAGATGATTGAAGTAATGCGACGAACTGAAATCCCGTAGGCTATTACAGGGGTAGGTTCTCCCTAGTCCCTACGTAAGAGCTTTTAGTCTGTAATGACCACCATTTCTTGATCCAACCAGTGTGCCCCCTCTAATTGTTTATATAAATATCCATGTGCAATGCTAGATACAAGTCATCGGTTTATGCAAGCTGAGTTCTAAATAATAGCTGGCTGTTATTGAGCATTGCTTGCTCTTTGCAGGTATGGGAGGTCAAAGCAGCTGACTTGACTATTAGTCCTGTCCACCGTGCTGCAGTTGGTATTGTAGATTCTGACAAGGTTTGCATTTGTATCACTTCCACTTTGTTTTTATATGTGTGTCGTTTGTTCAGTCCATAAGCTCTAGTTTACCACATGCTCTGATTTATACTACTACCTCGTGTTGATCCCCATCCTTTGTCTTGTTGTCAGGGAATTTCACTCCGATTTCCACGTTTGGTTCGTCTTAGAGAAGACAAAGCTCCAGAGGACGCCACATCATCTGATCAGGTGAAGTAATTGATCTTTATGAATCTGTTCTACATCAGTTTTCTGTTCCTAGGATACATATGGTGTGAATTTTGAAAGTAATAATAATGGCCCCTAGTATTTCACTGATAGATGTTTCTGACATTCTTTCAGGTGGCAGAAATGTACAGATCTCAAGCAAACACTCCACACCGCAAAATGAAAGATGATTTGGAAGAAGAGGACTGATACTCTGTTCCTTTTTCCCTAAATTGGTGCTAGTCTTCTGTTTGAAATGCACATGCATTCACATGCTGCTTCATGAGCATCTCGTTGAGGACTCATACTGGTTGAAAGAAAATCCCTTCAAAATCAAGCAGAAACTCTGCTCATGTACGGTTCAAAGGCCGAGGCATACTTGTTCAATATATCAAGATGCCGAGGCTTTACTGAGTTACGATACATAGAAGACACAAAGTGCACCCACTAGTCCAATCCACAGCAGTAGATTGGACTACCATTTGATCAGATTTTAACAATGTCTGGAATTCATTACCAAAGTTATGAATCTGAAAATACAATGGGGTTCTTGGATTTTTGTAGTTATAGCAACCATGTTTACTTTGGTATCACCAACCCTTTCTGCTTTTGGCATACATATGATTTGTAATCTACGACGGAATGTACATACAGTGTTTCTGAATTGGAGTGATTATGAAAGTGTACTTGGTTATTGCTGTATTTTTTACCTGTAATGAAGTTTTTCGGGAATAACTTTAGGATGCTGTACACGGGTGTACCGTGTGCCTGCTTGTTAGAAATCTACCAGTTGTATTGTCAAGGCCGTTAATGACTAATGAGAGTAATTTTGTTGACTAAACACCCATTGATGAATAGTTAAACAACTTCAATTTTGTTTATTCATCCCCTTTTTCTTTACATTAATGTCATTTTTTGTTTATATCTTCTTTTCTCGTTTGTTTTTATATAAACCACTTTTTTGGCCCCTTTTTTTTTATAAATCCCTTAATTTGCGTCTCCATTTTTGTCAAATTGGACTAAATTGTTTATTTTTAATTACTTTCTGTTATTGTTTAACAATCCCTGGTGTTCACATATTATACCTGACCCATCGTTCAAAAGGTACGTTGAATGAAGGTGTGAGCAACTTAAGTTTTATGTTGTTTTTGTCATATTGTGGTTATGTTAGATGATATACTTTGTACTTCGTATTCAGTATTCAAGTTTGTAAAGTCCAGCTCTCCAGATCAATGTTTGAGAGAGGGGAACTAAGGGAATCCCCTATTCCCAAATAAATGTAGTTGGTGGGGCTCGAACTCGTGACCTCAAAGTCATAAAGTTAGTTTCCCGACAACTCCACCAAGCCTCAAAGTCACAGGTTAAATGACTTGTCTTGTACTGTATTATGGTCTATGGAGTATTGTTGTTATTACAGTATTAGTTGTTGCCTTGTTGGCTTGGTGCTACCTCTAATCAAAAAATTTAGATCTGTCACTGGGAGAGGTTTGGGAATATTTGGCAAACTAATGAAAATAATTGGCATTATTTCCGATATTAAACTTCATACGTATATGTAAAAATTAAAAATAATATTTTAAAAATATGAAATATCAAGAGAAGAATAATATCGGATGAGGAAATGTTTTCGTTTAGGTAAAAAACAATAAATATGATCAAAGAGAGCTTTTTTTTTAAGTGTAATGAAAATGGAACATTATGAGATCCTCTTCACGAGGGGAACACCTAAATATATATTGGAGGGTATTGTTGAAATGATTTAATAGTGTAAGATTGTTATGTAAATACTTTGATCAACGATTCTGAAATTTGCTACGTGACTTTTAATTGAAAATAAGCTAGGTTAGGGTAATTTAGATTATTGTTTTTAGTTGGGGACGTGATTTTATAATTACTTTGCAATAGTTTTAGTCACACTTAGCATTTTTTTTATTTTGTGGTAAGGACACTTATCACTTCTTACTTAGAACTGTAGAACTAATAATCTTTGGAATCTAATAAACAAAATGGTTTTGTAACAACTAACAAATGAGGAAATTCCCGTTACTCAAGCTGAGTAACAAGAATTAGTAAATATAATGTGGGATTGCTTGGCATTTTTGTCAATTTCTCACAGCATTAGTAAAGATAAGCTAGTGGTTAGATTAAAGATATTTTATATGCAAGTAATAATTGCTAAAGACATATTTAATTGTTAATTGTTTGTTCCCTTAAAAGTAACTCCCTAGTAAAGGGGATGAGACTTAAATGACAAACTCATGTTCTACTAATGGGAACATTGTAGTAGGCAGTTATATGAAGACTTAATGACTCAAAGGAGAAGGTGTGATGTGGATTTTGGAAGACTTCCATAAATAGCTATAGCAATGGGAAAGCTCTCCAAATCCATTGACTCATATTTCTTTTTGTATCCAATATACGTAAAAGCCCCGTTCTTTATTTATATCTTTACCTTTAAATTATTAAAGCTAGATATAAGACAATTGACAATAGATCCAAATATCTCTCGACTCAAAACTAAACCAAATGACTCATCACCCAAATATAATATAACTAATATAATTTTAATTGCCACACTTTAAATTGAAACTGAATCAAATGACTCACCATCCAACTATTCTATAAAGTACATTAATTTAAATAAAACTTGATCGATCCAAACATTATGATCGGCACACAAATATTTGAAACCAAACCAATTGACTCATCATCCAATTGAAATAAATTCTTATTTAAATATTCTAATTGAAATTACATCTGATTTAAACATTCTATGTGCGACACATAGACTTGAAACCGAACCTAATGGATTGTTTGACGGATTGATTTGCTAAGACCCAAGGTACATTAATAGTGATGTAAAATTTTCTAAACAGAATTTGGAGGGAGGTGGAGCTTTCAAAATAGTAACATGCATGCTTGGAGAAAGTGGCATGGTGCCCTTACTAAAGTCATATGTCATAATTGCCGCATTGAAGTAATGAAGTCTAGTCGTAAGTAACCTAATAAGGAGTATTGAGCAGCCGTAGAGCAAGGTAATACTTTTCTACTCCAATGTCACTTTTGCTTGATTCCGTATAGACTTGGACATCCTTGTACATCACACATACTATCATCCACTTTGTTAATTAGGCACTACTTATCCTTAGCTTTAATTCTTCTATACCATTATTGTGGAATCTTTGATTTTATTGTCCAGTGTATGTATATGATTTGTCATATTATATGTCAATTAACCTTGATATGTCTTCCCCCATAGATCCAATACGGAAATATATGATTATGCGTTTGGTAGACAATAATAGAAAGAACAATATGCCGTACTAGAGTTTTTTTTTTTTTTTGGATCTTTAAAAAGCTACAAGGGCGGTTGATGTAAATCAATCTCAATATCTCTTGAAATCGGAAGGAGAGCTCTAACCACTTGAGCTATCCCTCATTCTCTCGTACTAGAGTATGTAATATGCAAGGAAAGTGAATTGGATTTCATTAGTGATACTAAAAGTGAATGGACTTTGTTAGTGGATTGTGAAATACGAAGTACTTGTATAAACTTAGTGTCAGTACACTTCTTTATTGATATGTAAAGTGAATGAATTTCATTAATGGGTGGTAATAAAATACAAACTTTAGGATCTATAAAGGTAGTTACTTAAACAAATTACAAAAGTTAATTTTAAGAACAACACCATTTATAAAAAGATTGTTTAGGACAATATAATCATTTTAAAAACGAGCTTGCCTCTAAAACATAACCTACAAAAATACAATGCAAATAGATGTGGCCAATCTAGCCATTGAGTTAGGTTGATGACCCCAACTTTAACTAGAACTGGGCACGAGTGGCGTTAATGGGTTATGCATATAAGTTCATGTCTTGTGCCAACGAGTTATAAGGTCAAACCAGCTACATTTGAAACGAGTTTGTTAAATTAGTTGAGACGAACTTATACAAGAGAGGGGGGGTGAATTGTATGGAGTTCCTTATGGTACTTTTTCGCGGAATTATAAAACAGAATATTAAAGGAACTTGCAATGCACATAGGATTTTACAAGGACACCTTCCAGGGCCTAATTGGAAGTAAAACCTCAACCCTCCAAGGGATTTCAAACTTCAAACCAATCCACTATAATAGGCCAAACACTTCTAATTACAACCTATTACAATCAGACCTTTTTCACAAGTTCCAGACTGAACTTGCTACACAGTAGAACCCTATTCTACCCAACCTAAGTCCCGGACTTAGATTCCACTCAGCACTCCCAGAGTACTCACAACTCAGCTTCAACCTCGAAGCCTATAAACTGTATGCAAAATACTAATCACTCACCCAATACCAAAACAATACAAACTCTTGACTCTAATATGTGATTGGAAAGCTACACATGAAATCCGAAACTAATATGACAAAGCTTTGTACTTGGCAAACTTACTCTTAAGCACTCTTCATATTTTTCACGCATAAACTCACAAGTTGTTTCAATTAAGATCTCTTCTTTATATACAAGAAGTATTGTAAAGTAAGGTTTTCAAAAGATAGAAACTGTAAAACTGCCGTTTATTAAAACCCTTCGTAAAATAAATCTTTTGAAGAAAATCTTTTGGAAAACTTAACAAAGATATAATTTAGAAAAGATTATTATTTTGCAAAACCAGATTTTATAAGATAAAATCTCTCAAAGATCTTTTCTTAAATTAAAACTTATCTTTTATAGAAGTTTCCATATCTAAACGTTTGCCAAGCTTTGCCACACTTCTAATAAATTTCATGCATAAACTTACCTAACATAATTACAACAATCCTAGTAAAAATAAACTTAACAAAAACCTTAATAAGACTTTTAGTCTATTGCTGGATTGTTTCCTTAATCGTTGTATTATAAGGATACTTGGGCTCTACGTAGACTAGGAATGAGTCCCTGTTGTCTTCAACTCTCCAGCTCCTTACTGGAACACGCAGACCAAGTTCTTGTGGAACTTGTTGTCTTCAATGCAGTCCAAGCTAGTCTTCTTAGCTTGCTATCAAGTTCCTGTTAAGGAACTTCTTCTTCGTGTTCCTGATAGGGATCACTTCTAGTTCCAATGAGGTACTCTTCTTCTATTATCTTTATCTCCCCTTAACTTCTCCTTGGATTGGATTTTCATAGGCAGGCTACTCTTCCACTTCCAAAGTCAACTTCACCTGTCCTAATTAAATACTTAGAGAAAACGCATTAGTTGAAGTTTGCTTTCACTCATCATCATCAAAACTACTTAAGCTTCAACAGAGTTAAGAAAAAGTCATGTCCTGCCAAACTTATGCCAATATTTCAGGATAGAAACCCATACACAGCTTGAATCACGTTTTGTGTCTGCTGTGCCAATATACTCCCATAATAAATATAATACAAAGTATGTTTTGTATATTGGTAAAAAAATAAGTCAGTCGGCCCACTATATTCTTGCCACGCATGTGTCCATTTATGGAAATAATGTCCACGCACAATCTATGGTTCACTAGCATGCCACTGTGCCAAGACTTGTAGTGATGAGTCCATGGCATGTCGACCCATTATCGTTCCATGTCTAATGCCATGCCCAAGTTAAGCTATGACCCATCTGCCGATTGGGTTTATCTATTCGATCCGACTTAGGTTGAGCACTAGTTCACAAAGAGAGTGAGCTAAACACTCAATTCATTTCTATTGATCCAATCAATTTTTTTACGTGTTACTTTTAAGAAAGTAAATAATGATGGAGTTTTAACCCATTCAAATCGACGTTTATCATCAATTGTATAAACCAACTTAGCCGTGTCCACTAAGCCACTATAGCAGTGTAAAAGTTTTGTGTCACATTTTGAAGAGACTTCTCAAAATCTCATAAACTTGTCTAGTAGCTACTTAATACGAGTAATAAAGTTATCAAACCTCAAAATTTAGAGTGTATCTAGGCGCATAAGGCTTATATATTTAGCATGCACATAAGAGGGTAATATGGGGTTCAGTGGTATATTTTCTCTCTCTTAATAGTACAGTGGTACATTTTATGTACTACTATACATGCATAATGTACCATTAAAGTATAAATTATCTGAGTAGTACTTTTTGTGTACTATTATGCATGTAGAGGTACTTTTTGCCATCGTATTTTTCACCCTCAAGTTCTCATCATTTACAAAAATGTCATCCTATTTACATGCTAAATACATAGGGTCTATGCGCCAATATATCTCCCAAGTTTTATACGTTTAAAAGAGAAAATGTGGCATAACGCAAGGTGAAGTGCCATCTTCCGAACTTGGGCCTTGCAAAATGTAACAATGATACAAAGACCCAAAGACCTATAAATGGAAGTTGTAAAGAACAAAACTAATCTTCAAAAATGGATTGCCGTACAACTTTATGGTAAACCGTTGTTGAATAACTAGGGACATGGTCAATTTCTTGAAAATCTGTTTGCTCCTCGTTGCATTCCATTCTTTTAGACTTTGGAACACAAAGGCATATTTCACATTGTCACACAGCCCTTATAGCGGTGGAAAAGGCCAAACCAAAACAATAAAAAATAAATAAATAAAATAAAATAAAATAAAATAAAATAAAAGGATCGAGACAAAGAAAAAAAGGGTGTTGAAAATGCACCATAACTAATTGACATCGACGTGCCTTTTCGGCTGTTTTTTTTTCTTTTTTTTTTAGGGTGACATTCAGTGACTTCTCTTCAATCTTTGCAAGTTTTTGAGGATTTAGGAAATTAAGGTAAATTTTTAAATTTTTTTTTTATCTTAGTTTCGCTTGTTTTAACTCATAACAGAAATTAATAAAACTTTTTAAACTTATTATTTTTTCTCAACATATCTAAATATGAACTTATTTGAAAATTTACGATAATGTCTAAACGAATAACAATTTAGGAAAATCTTTATCTTTCTATCAAATTTTTTTTTTTTTTTTTCCTCCTCCTCCTTCCAAATAAAATAGTAACTCTATATTTTAGACTAATATTAACTCATCAACTTGATGTCATATGAGTATATGGCATTTACATTACAAGTCAAAATAATTACATAACACGAGTACACGACCCATTATTTTATGTTGTTTGACACAACTTTTTATAGGGGTATATCACTTTAAGGTTGAGGTGGTGGAGTAGTGGCATTGCTCCCTACTTCATATCCCTAAGGTATAGTGATCAAATTTCATGGAACTCGTATGAGAGAATTCCCTTATCTTAATTTTTATTTATTTTTAACACACTACTTTGACACGCATTTTAAGAAAGATAGTAAATTAGGTAAACGAGCAAATTAGTTGAAATAATTTACAATTGATAAAAATAATGGTGTTAATTTATTTCGGTTTATTTTATAACTCGTGTGTGGGTCGGGTGTTGCACCGAGTTATTACTTTGAAACAATATTAGTAAAAAAAAAGGATTTAAAGAGAATAATTCTCCACTGTCTTGGAATTGTTGAGGCTATCCCGCTTTATTCATTTTTTCCAGGCTACATAATTATTTTTAATCCTTTTTTTGTGCTTACTTAAAGATGTAATGATATATTTACGTGTAGGTAGATGACTTAAATAACTATTGGTTAAAATGGTAATAAACGTGATCATATTAATGAGATTTAGTGTCCAAAACTTGAGATTTTTTAATTTTATTTTTAATTAATAATGACATTGGAATATAAACGTTTTTAATTCCCCAAGTGACTAAGGCTCCGTTCACTTCACCTTATTTATCCTCAGCTGAAATTATTTTTACTGAATTGAAATTATTTTTGCTGAACTTAAATTATTATTTTTACTGAACTTAAATTAATTTTACTGAATTAAAGTTATTTTTGCTGAACTAAAATTGTTTTTTTACTGATTTTCTATTATATTTATTCTTTAAGTGTACTGATTTTTACTAACTGAAATTATTTTTGCTGAACTGAACTTATTATACTGAACTGAAATTATTTTTACTGAATATTACTCTCTCTGTTTTTTTTATAAGGTAGTGTTACTTATTTTCATCCGTTCTTTTTATTAGCTAGAGTTCCATTTTTGAAAATCTCTTACAATTTAATAATATATATTTACCCATTAATGTCACAACTCTTTCTTACTTTATCATTTCTCTCTCCTCCAGTGGTCCCTACTCCCTCCCACACCACTTTATTTTTCAATAAAATAATAACCTTATCTACCTCACTAACATTTATCTCTAACCTAAAAAAAAAAACGAAGAGAGTATTTTTATAAGGTGAAGTGAACAAGCCTAAGTGAGTGTGATAGTGGGAGCAGATAGAATCAACCCAGCAATATATTGTTACAAATAAAAAATATTCCATACAAACTTTAAAAATTAAAAGTTAAGATTCATGTTGCCAAGATTAATAAGATAATTAGGTTTATAGTTTAGAAATAGAGTACTGTTATAGTTGGGCTACAGATTTCGGTGGTGATCCATGGAACCCACTTTACCCGACAGACTAGCCCGTTAGCCTCCCTAGTTGGTAGCCAATAGTGAATCCAAACAAATTTATTTCCAATCTTTTCTTTTCAGTCCACACCTAAAACTTCACCATTTCTATTGTAGCCTCATCTTTCTCTCTCTTTCCTATTTTCTTTTTTCAACCCATTTACCCCAACTTTTCTTTTTTCCTATTTCAAAAAATATAAAAGACAAAATTAAGTTTGGATTTTTTTGAGCATTTGATTTGATTAGATGAAAGTTAAACAGACCGAGGTTGAGTTTTGTGGACATGACTCGAATCAGAAATAACGTTGCTTACTACAATGTGAATACAACTCAATTTGTACACGAAAGACGTGACTATAACACGATTTCATCTGTTTATTATAGTACTTCGTAAGTAACTTTTCATATAGATAATGTATTATATAACTATCATTTGTCTTTATGATTTTGATATATTTCGCAGGATTACAACTTGAAATCAACATGAAATTAAAAGGTGAATAGGACTAATTGATTGTTTAGTGAAAGTTTTACTGTATGTTTATATAGTACTCGTAGTTAGGGGTGAACAAAAATTTCAAATATCCGAAATCGGCGGGATTGAAATTTAAATTGGACTTAGTGGCTCCAATAATTTCAAGTTTCACACCTGCGCAAATCCCAATTTTTCGGAATCGAAAACGGTTAGATACTTGGTTACTCAACAAATATTAATATACTCTCTCTGTTTTTATTTTTTTCAGTGCCTCATTATGACTGGCACACTTACCAATGCATAATCGATAAGTATAAACTATAAAAAGGATATTTGGAATCTATGCTTTGAGACAATTCTAACAAATACTTATTGATTAAACAGGTGCATGTAAATAATGCCAAAGTCAAAATGGGGCACTTAAATAACACGGGGGGAAGTACTCCTTGTGTTTTAGGAATCGATCCCAAACAATTTCGAGTCTAATTACTAAATTTTTGACCAGATATCCAGTTTGTTAATTTTTAAATTTATAAATTACTTTAGGGCACTTTCTTAAAGAACTTTATCCTTTATGAAAAATCACAACCAAAAAAGTAGTCCAAGAATTCCATTGACAAAATAATACTCCCTACCATTGCATTTCTGACTTCACCAGTAGCAAATCTTAAAGAAAGCTAAAGGCTAAACCCCTAATTTGCTCATCATTTACAGCTTTAACTGTTCATACTATAGCTCTGCAATAAGGGACCAAATTTAACTGAAATCTTTGAAACATACTAAAGATATTATCATACGTTCCAATATTGATTATATTTATATCTCATATCTCTAACAAGCTTCAAGAAATACTGATCTAACTTAGCACTGAAACTATTCTTAGTAAACAAGTGTGTTTCTAATAGTTTAATAAATTAAGGAGTGTGATAAACCACTTCTTCCTTTACCAAATAATTGGCAAAAAAAAAAAAAACTAAAAAGCCCCTCAAATCCAGCTCTTAGTAGCTGCATTTCTAGCTAAAAAATTACTATCATAAAAATCATAATTAGTAGATAGTACTAATGAAGAAGTACCCTTTGGTACTTACTAGCCTCAGAAGAAAAACCATCAGAAAACCCTCTTTTTCTGTTAACATTGCCACAAACATTAGGAAGAAACTCTTCTTGATGAACAGCCACTGTCTGAGTGACTGCAGCAGCCGGTATCGATACAGGAGGGATGTCGAAATTCTCCAAAGGCGGTGGCGGGTGTCTCCACTGAGGAAGTGGTCCTGCTAAGAGCAGAGTCTGAAGTAATGGCCCTGCTTTTATCACAGCCTGTAATAGTTTCCCCTTTTCGGGTAACGGCTTCTTGAGTGTTAACAGGCGCAGGGCAGTTTCCGGTAAACCGGATGGTGAAGGTTGCAGTGGCAATGGCGATGATGGTGATGAGATAATGCTCTCTTCACCGTCAGAAGTCGATAAATTACCTCCATTGTTGCTGTTGGAAAATGCTCTTTTTGTTGTTGTTGTTGGCTCATCTTCAATGCTTGAAGATGATCCTGAGTGTACTTGAGGCGGAACCATTTGTTGTTGTTGTTGCTGTTGTTGTTGCTGTTGCTGTTGTTGCTGTTGTTGTTGGATGTAGAGTTTTTCAAGGAGAAGGGTCTTGCAATTTTCTTGAGCTTCATTTTTTTCAGTAATTGCTTTATTAAGCAATTCTTGAAGATGGGTTAATTGTTCTTCCCTCTTTCTAATCTCTTCCTGAGCTGCTAATTTTGTTGTTTCTAGCTCTAGTGTTGTGCACACCAATGAATGATTTAGCTCTTCTATACTCTGCATACAAGAATTCACCTAAAGAGTTTAGTACAACAACAAAATAGATGAATATTGTCAAAGCTCGTTCTGACTGTAATTTGAACTAGTAATGCAACAACTAAATTTGGACAAAGCAGGATTCGTAGTAATAGGGCATTACCTTGCCTTGATAGTAGTAGTAAGGCCAATTGAGAAGTGGAGTTCTCTGTGTTTCCATATTTTCCTGCAAATGAGAAGAAAATGGAATTAAGTGTGGGGGTTAAGAGTAGTTTTAGTGGTACCTACCTCTTATAAGGGTGACAAAATGGTAGTTTAGGTACTGTTTGTAGGTAGAAAATGGGGCAGTTTATTTTAATTTTTTCTGCAGTATAAAGTGGGAGGAAGAAAATTGTAAAAAGAGTAAGGTGGAGTTGGTTTAGACAAAGCCAAAAGAAGCCAAAATATAGCTGGAAAAATAAGGGGTAGTCCTATATTCCATACACTATATGTTTGGAAGACAGAGAGTTACTTCCTTCGTCCTTAAAAGATTATCTCATATTCCGAATTCAATACTTTATAAAAGATGGATGTTCTTAAAAAATTGTCCCTATCTATTTGGTATTTTCTATATGCAACCTCAATTGCTCTCTCTATCTCTTTTTTCGTCAATAATTGTACATGTTCAACTACACAAATTTCGCTTTGTTTCTAAAAGTGGAATTGGAATTTGAAGCAATCTTTTAGGGACGGATGGAGTATAAATATAGATGTATTAACAGTGGTGTCAACCGTCAATCAAAGACTTGAGTAGCTGTAGCCGAACTTGCGTTTTACGGAGTAAACTAACATCATTCTAGTATGTCTTCCACTCTTGCTTGGAGTCTTGGATTGTGAGCTGTGTTGCTTCTTTTTGGGTCTAGTCATCCAAAGTCTGTAATGGTCTATTTAGGAGGAGTGTATTCAACGATTCTTTTAATTGATAACATGAACTTATTTTATAAACTTATTGTATGTTGTCAAAATCGAATAAGATCAAAACTTGGTAATTTTCCATTATCTATTACTAAATATCTTTATTTGTGAGTAAACATCAATTATGAATATTACAAAATTGATAGTGTTTTTTTTTCCGCATGTCAGTGTAAAAATATTGTCAAATTATAGTTATACATGTATGGACATGCAATAGGCCAATAGGCGTAGAATAAATAATATTAAGAGTAATTGTTATAACCCTTGTCTTGAATTATTAAAAGTGAAGAGAACAAGTTTTAAACACAAATAATATGCTCAATTATTTACTGTAAGTTATAGATAACCTTAGAGGTATATGTGAATTTTCTAAGAATTACTACTCCTTTTTTTTTAGGAAAATTTGTAAAAAATAAGCAAATCTTTTCTCGTTCTTTCAAAAATAAACAAACTTGTTGATTAACTCAAAATAAGTTGACCTTTATGAGGTATTATCTTTAAATAAGTTAAATGACCTACAACCTACCAAACAAGTCACTATTTTCCTAATTTTAATTAAATTTTTTCTTATTATAATTAATAATTAATTAAACAGTATTGATAGAAAATAAAAAATAAAAAAAAAAAAATAAAAACCACACCCACCAAATACCAGCGCTCCACCCCCATCCCCCTGACCCCCCGCCAGCCACCGCACTAAGCTCCCGCTTCAGTGGTCCCAGACCCCTTTCTTCCCCTCCCTAAACGCCGGCCATGACCAACCCTAACCCGCGAGAAGTCCCGAAACTTACCTGAAACTCCATTCTACAGAAACCCTCCCCAAAACCACCACACACCTCGAATCCCCACCCTAACCACCAAAATATTACCATATCCACCTCGAAACCCAACCATACCCACCTCGAAACCCAACACCCACCTCATTGTTATTGTTATGCTGTTTGCGAGTGTGGGCGTTTTGGAAGGGGGAAAGGATAGGGTCGGGATGGGGGGAAGGACGGTAGAGGATTCGGTTGTGGGGTCGTGGGGATGTGATGGAGTGGTGGTTTTGGTGGTGGGTATGCGATTTAATGGTAGTTTTGGTGGTGGGAAAGGCGAGGGATGGTGGTCGGCAGGCCAAGGGCGAGGAGAGGGCAGCTGTAGTGGGGGTTTCTAAAATATAATTTTTTTTTATCTTAAAAAAGATTTTTTTAATAATTAATTAAAATATTAAATTTTAATTAAAATTTGAAAAAAGGACCAACCACATTATGACATGTGGCATAAGCAACCCAAACAACCAGTTACCCTTAAAACTAACAGGTCATGACTTATTTTGAAAAAATACCTCATAAAGGTAAACTTATTGTGAGTTAATCGAAAGATTTGCTTATTTTGGGAAGATCGAGCAAAACTTTACTTATTCTTGACAAATTTTTCATTTTTTTATTTATTAGGGGCAAATTATTAGTTCGCAATCTCGCATATTAAAGTTAACGGTTCAAATTTTGCCTCTTAATATAAGATCTAAGTAATGTTATTAGTCGTTGAGAATATAACATAATCCTCCCAAATGCATCCAAACAAAATCCTCACTGCAATATATAATTAGGATCAAATCTACAGACAATGACTATTACAATAATCAATTAAAACAAATGAAAGAGAAGTAACTAACTTGGAGTAGTTAAATTTAGGTTAGTATTGCACTTTAATTTAACTAGAATCAATTATTTTAAGGCATAGCTTAGATCCTTTTTAGTATTCAATTGATTCTCATTTCTCAAGTAGGAATTTCACAATTTCAATCAAACCCAAATCACGTTGATGCTCAAGGTCGGGTTTCCAGATTGGAAGCTAAGTACTGACCTACTGCAATTAACAATTCTACACTGTAATAATGGTTGCAAGAGTTCAGAAGCCGATATTGCATAAACCCTGCATAGTCAAGTCAGAAGCTCAAATATGTTACAATAAGATCAGACAAAAATATCCTAACTACTTCAGTATTAGAAAGGATAGCTATCACAAATCTACAAGCAGCCATAATTTCCAAAGCCATGGGGACAACAAGCCATTATCATAGGTTGATTTACAACGTGAGAAATGCCTAGTTGGCCTTCCAATCGAATCCACACGGGCTGATATAGATGCAGGGTAACTAAGCCGGTCTCCTCATCTTTTTATTAAGTGGAGGATCCTTGTATGACTGAACTTTTTCTGTAACCCTGCGCTGTGGCCTTCCAATTGATGATCGTTGTGCTCTTGTACTATTTGATGACTCTGAGAGATACTCTTCATCATCTGCTTTATCAGAGGTTGATTTACGACGTGAGAAATGTATAGTCTGGTTGGCAGCATCTTTTCCCACTTCTATCTCAAACAAGTCATCTTGTTTCCCCGGGGGCTTCAACCTCACCGATTGCCTCCTCAAACAACGCCTGAACATATAATATACAAGATCTCAGGTCCTCAGACATCTAATATCAGAATTTTCCAATAACTCCATCACATATACTACTTTAAGACGTGCTAGCAAGCATGATTTCAGGATTATTTATGCATAAAAATTGTTTCTTGTAATTTATTCATTTTTTCTCTACATAATCAAGAACCAATCTAACTCATTTCTAGGAAAAGGATGAGACACGGTTATGCAAGTAATATTGCCTGGCCACTTAACAAAAAGGATAAGAAAAAGGGGATCAAGACAGCATATATCCTCCAACATAATTTATCTCATACTCACTCTTTTATAATATGAAGAGAAGAAAATGGAATCTAAACTACAGAGCATACTAAAATCAACCAGATTACACATCTGACCTTTTGTTTTCCACCGTCTCCTTATCAACAGCTTGCTGAGACGTTGTAGGTCCCATGGCTGCAAGAGTGAGATATGAATGTGTTAACACACAGAAAACATGTATCGGTGCTCAGGATAAAAAATTCACACGCATATAAATCAGAAGCAGCAAATTACATTGACTTCTTGCAGGGCGTTCTCTTTTTGTTTTGGATACTTTGTTCTCATTGTCCTTCAGTGGTTGCTCCATAGCTGCTTCTTCTGGTTTAGGCTCTCCCTCCTTCACCAACAAACCGTTATCAATTAGAAAAAGATCACAGATCGCAAAAAGGCTCACACATTCACAATATCGGCTACTTGCACACAAGCTCACTGCCAATTTCCAAGATACCTGAAAGCCATTTGTTTTACAGTGCACCTTTGCTTTTTCCTGCGATTTAAAGCAAACAGAAAGAGGACCATCAGCTACCTGGTATTTCTAAAGTTTGTAGAAGCTCAGCAAAATTAACTTTAAAGTCTCAAAATTAAAACTCAGCAAAATTAACTTTAAAGTCTCAAAGCACAAACAATTTATTTTACCAGTGCATTTCAACCATAAGCAAAAGTTTGAATCAAAGAATTATTATACTAAATGTGTGAGGATAAGTTTTCTCTTTAGGTTTTCATGCAATCTATTCGCTAAGACTAACAGGAGAAACTACGTACCTTCAGTTCAAGAGTCATTGCTTTAGACAAGGCATTCTTGCTGAGAAGCTCATGTTGTAGGTTTTTCAACTGAATACCAATCAGATTAATCGATTTATTCAAAATTCACTCTAAAATGTAAAGGAGATGGGATTTCATTCACCAATCTGTATATAAGCAGTTACATGTTCTTACTTACCCTATCTTTAGCCATGTTAAGTTCCTGCACACATAAATAAAAGAAAATCAACAATCCAATCAGCTAAAAAAACCAACTCTAAACAACAACCACTGTCTGCATGAAAGGGATGCACCAACCGCTAACATCTGAGAATTGCTTTGAGCAAGATGCCAATTCTGCAGCTGTGTTTTCTGAAGATTAACTCTCAGCTTCTGCAGCTCGACTCCATTCGATTCAATAATTTTACTTTACAACATTCATTAAGGAAATTCTGAAGACAGTTTAATGTCCGACTCGACATTCCAAGTATAATGTACTCTTAACATTATCCTTCTACATTATTTATTAAGTAACAACAACATAACATAGTCCATAAACCAAGCATAGCCGAAATCCAAACAGAATTGAAAATGAAGGATACTCTTTTTCTTCTATAAGTTTCTTCATCACAGCATTTTCCTGAACCACAAATTCAAAACGAATGGTCATTAGGTTGTATAAACCAATCCCACTGCCCTAAATCATAATGTTTTCTTAGATAATAAACAAAACCCATTTCTCCAAATTAAAAATTCAAACTCTATAATGTTCATCAAATTTTCAAACTCTAAAAAATCACAAATTGTAAACTAAACTTAATTCCCTAAATCAAAATTTCAAAACATAGATTGTCCCATAAAATTGTAATCAAAGTCCATATTCCAAAATCACAAATTTTACAATGTTCATCAAACTATAAACTAAACCCAATTCCTAAAAAACCACAAACTGTACAGTAAACCTAATTCCCTAAGTCACAAATTCAAAACATAAAAACTCCATCAAATTGTATACTAAACCCATTTCCCAAATTCACAAATTTTGCAAAATTCATCAAATTATAAACTAAATCCAATTCCCTAAGTCACAAAATCAAAACATACAATTCAAAATTGCAAACAGAACTCAAATCAACCAAAAAAAGAGGCAAAATTCACAACAAAGACAAAAAAACCGAAGCGACGAAACCTCAAAAACTGTAAGAGAATAGAAGAAAAAGGGGTTCACCTGAAGAATTTTTTCCATGTAAATTTTACTGGAAGAATTATCCGGAGCAGGTAAAACATTCTCCTGATTCTTGAAAGGCGATTTGTGTTGAGAATGCAAATTGCTAATATCAGACAATCTTTTCCTCATTTTACTAAATGTTGAGCTCTTAATTGACTTATCACCCTTCATCGATAACAACAACTTCGGCAAATTAGATTGAAGCTGTTTGAAATTATAGTTCAGAAAATGAAAATCAAGGGTTTTTTTGCTGCAAAAAAAGTTTATTAAAATGAAGAAATTTATAGTGAAATTAAAACAAAGTAAAGCGGCAAGAAATTGAGTAGGGTAAAGAAGAAAAATACCCAGAATCTGGAGTTCAAATTAAAGAACGCAAAATCAGTGAAGATTGATTGACCAAAAATCGAGCAAAAGAGGGAAAATTCTGTGATTTTAAGAAATGGGTTTTTGAGGGACAATGAGAATAAAGTTTGAGAATCGAAGGAAAAACAAAGGAGATTCAAAGAAGTGTGGTGGGGAGAAGGAAGAGGAAGAAGCTTAAAGAGGTTTGGTGTTACAACGGTGATCCGAAGCTGAGGTACCAACCCACATTTTGAAATTTCATTGGCGCCCGAGCCACGTTTGAATTTGCTAGCATGGTTCGGGATCTAATCATGGTTTTCAGCAACCACAACAAATAGCCGGGTTTGGTTGGGCTTGGGTCAGGTGATTGTGGAGAATGTGGACAAGGTAAAATCATTATTTTAGGCCCGTTCATTTCACCTTGTTTTTTTACTTAATTGAAATTAATTTTATTAAATTAAAATTATTTTTGCTAATCCTTCATCATGTTATTATGTTTACATTTATTGAATTTTTACTAAAATGAACTTATTTTATTGAACTGAAATTATTTTGCTTTTTTTTTTAAAAAAAAAAAAGTTGAAATTATTTTTACAGAACTAAACTTATTTTTTACTGAATTGAAATTACTTTTACCGAATTGAAATTATTTTTAATGAATAATATTTTAAAGTGAAGTGAACAAGGCTTTAATCAGGTAAATTGTGGTAAACTATCTTGCGCATTGGCGGCACATATTTGTAATCATAATCATTGCACGGTGTTGGGCTGAGCCAACTTCGATCAAGTCACAGTGTGTGACTATTAGTTTCATTTTTATTAAAAGAGTATTTCACTTTTGAATTAGGGAGCCCCATTTTCTCAATTCAGAAATATGGGATGATTCTCAAATGGCAAAAGTGGTAAATATTAGCAACTTTATTAATATTTTATTTTTTGTTGGCTGACTCACCCTCTAGTGGCCTCTTCCTCCGTCCCCTTCTGTCTCCTTCCATTACTTCAACTTTCTTCATCATCCCTTCTTCAACCTTATTCATCATCTTCAACCTTTCTCATCATCAATGGTGGACGAACCTCAACTCCATAATAAACACTATACTCAACACCACCGTTTTCACACGGCAAAATTTAACGAAAAACCCTAAAAGGAATATACTTCTTCCGTTTTTTTAGTTGACACCATTTGACTTTTACACTATTCACAAAATATACTTTGACTAGCGTTTGTGATTTATAGCTACAATAAAATATATTCATGTGAGATTTTATTTGAATCGTCTCAATGTTTATTTTATTAAAATCCAATTTTTTTTTATTATACGATATCAATAATTATATATATATTAATCATTAAAATAATGCGCAAACGTGATAATAGAAAGATGTCACCTAAAAAAACGGAGGTAATATAATTTTAGGACATGGTTAACCCCAAATGGTAGGTGTTTGTTATTGTTTGTGAGCTTTCTTCCATTATTGAAGAATTTCTCGACCTCCATTTTCGAAGAGAGAACGGTGGGAATATAGGTAACGGAGTTAACCACCGTTTTTTCAAACTAACAAAAATAGCCTTGATTATATGACCAACAGACGAAAATACCCTCTTGAGGAACATACAACGTTTCTCACTTGTATTTAGCCCTTTTGAATTGGCATGAAAATTAGAAATAATTTTTAAAAAGAATATAGAAAAGTTTGAAAGAGGTAAATCGGAAATATAAGTACAAGGGAGAAGCTAGCATTAGATGAATAAGGGTTTATTTATTCCACCTTATTTTAGCTTATCTAATCTAATCTAGTCTGATGTAATATAATATGGTATGATACAATTGTCTAATTTTATTTGTACTATAATCTACAAAGAAGAAATATATCAAGTGAGATCTATTAATATGTTTTATTAATATGAAATTTTTACAATTTTTTTCATTACATATTTAAAGATATTTAACAATAAAAAACCACACATAAAATGGTAATCTGATCTGAACTTATTTTTATTGATCTGGTTTAAGCTTATTTTTTCTAAAGTATAAATAAGTTAAACTAAACAAGGCCTAAGAGCAAAAAAATTTGTGACCAGTAGAACATAAAATAAATATTGAACGACAAAATTATTCAAGTACAAGAAAATAGGCTTTTATGTAGAGAATCCTAATAGATCTGCCTTTCAAGTGTTTGGTAACTCCACAAAATTTCGCAGCCAGATACTTTGTACTAATAATATCGACGTATTACCAGTAGTCAGACCTCAGAAGGACGAGGAGGCATAAGCATTTTCTGTAGCAGCATCAGCAGCAACAAGCTGATGAAAAACTTGAAAAGCTGTCCAAACTGTTGGGAGTGTTGGGACTTGGGAGAAGGGAGGTGAAGGCCTATCATAGGAAGGGAGATTTGAGAAAATCCCTTCTAAAATGAGCTAAGTGACATACGATAGCTGATCTCAAGCTTGGAAGTCAAAGAGCTAAGTCAACTGCATTAGCCTTCTTTCTTGTGCATACTTAAGTAAATGACGTCTAAAGAAAGTAATACAAACACTCTAAAAAAACTTCCATCTCCTGATGCAGTAAAATTGATGTGTAAATCATCTTCATGAGTTTTTGTTCAGTGGAGAGTGTGCCGCCCTAGAGAACTATCCATCAGGCATGCACGTTCTCATGCATATAAATTACAGTTGTAAGTGGCTACACTGACAATATAAAAAGGCAAAATAAATAGAATAAAGTAAAATGAAGAAACTACACTATTCAAAACTTTGGACCTGGAAAAATATGAAGATTAATCTCTTCCTCCTTCCATGTATACCCTCTGATATACAATGAAGATCCAGGTGGTATGGCTGACAAATGTTACAGTAAACAACGAAACCTTCATTCCTTAACAAGGCAGACTTGACCTTGCATCACAACGGCTGTTAGAATGCTCAGGATTCATCATTACCTGAGTTAAAGATCTGGAAAATGATATTTATCATAAGTAAATGTTAAATGAAGAGAAAAAAGAGAATTGTATAAAGCAATGCAAGTAAAATTGAACAACACTTGCCTCAGCCATTACAGCTTTAGAGAGCGTAGGCCTGTTTTTGAAAGCAGTCTCTGCAAGAGGTTTCTTCTGGGGGAACGGGCGTATAACTTTGGGCTTTTGCTGCTCCTTTGGGCCTTCTGAATCCAGACTATTTTGGAGTTTCCGCTTCTGAAGACAGATTTTTTTTAAGTATTGGTTCAATTAGCTACTGAAACAAATGCTAATAAAATGGAAAATTTTCCTACAACCACTTGTCAACTAAACCATGTCAATCAACAACTTGAGGCATGACCTCTAGTACAAAGCCATAAAAATGGAAGTACAAGATTCTTATATGGCATGCACTGGTGTACTAAAAGTCCTTCAAAATACAGCTCTCCAAAAAGAAAAAGAAAAAAAAAAATCCTTCTTTATAAGCAATGTACAAGCTCAAATTACAATGCTGAAGAAAGCCCTGACAGGTTGGTTCTGTCACAGATTCTAACATGATAAATGGAGCAGCTTGATCCACATGGTGAACAAGCTCTGAGCGCTCAATAAACTCTTAAGCCTTACCAATCCAATAGATTAGTTTAAGGCTGAAACAAAACCCAAGAGATAAAAATGGGAGTAGATCTTCCCACTAACTTTTTTGCACCACATTTTAAGCCCTACCTTTCTTTGGCTAATGATAATAACTCTAGGAGAGAAGTAAAATCAAAATGGATGGGCTACAATATTATACTTTCTCCTATATATTATTATTGCACCATTTGTAGTTTCACGCTTGTCAACGCACAACTTTGGCCATTAATATCTTTGATTATCTTTTAGTTTAAAATCATTAAAAATTTAATACGAAGTATTTTATAGAAGTATAGATCATGACGAATATAATAAGATTCCACATCACTATTTTTTCTTGCAAATAAATAACAAAAAATGGTCAAAGGGGACTGTGTGAATAGTGTAAAAACCAATATGGTGCAACTATAAAACAGAGGAAGTACTAATTAATCAACTGGAGTAAGTGGTAAAAGTTGTGTTACACAAACACATAGCAGTGGACAACAAATTGTCTCTTGTATTTCAAGGTGACCTATGTTTTGGATGAGGATGTGAACTAGAATGGTCAAATTATGGTCTCCTTAAACGGAAAGGCAGACATTTTCCAAAACTCAAAGACTGAATAAGTGTTGAGATTAACATTGACAAAATGAATAAATGAACATGATACCACACCCTTCGGCTACTTACCCAAATAATGCGAACTTGATTCAAAGTAAATGACATTTGGGGAGACTCTACCATATATGAACATAGATGTAACAGCATTATTCATTAAAATACTTGTCCAATAATTACACTGCATTATACAAATTTTCTCATTATAAAACTAAAACAAAAAGGAAATCATCCTAGCTTCTATGGGGATAATTTTTTCTGCAGTATAGGATGTCATGGTATCATGAAACTGACGGCAACAACCAACCAAAGTCATATGGTGCTCATCTTTGGTACTCAAACTCTTCAGAAGCGAATTTGTATCATATACCTGATTACATAGGTCAAGCTTATTCAGTTACAAGTGTTTTTAACTTCATCGCATTCAAGTGTGGAGTGTGTATTTGTATAAAATTTTTAGTTATGCGTTGGACACAATATAAATGGATAGTGAAGAATAGGTAGCTACAGAGTTTTTTTAAGCTCGACCAACATCACTCTAGTTCTAAATGCACTCATACCAAACAATCCCACCAGACCATACATAACAAATACTTGATACAAGCTACAAGTTTTGACATGATGCAATTTAACAAATAGTATAAAGTCCACATACCTTGACCATACGCTTTTCTATCTCACTCAAAGCACGAGACTGATCCACTTTATTTAGATAAAAGTCACGTTCTTTGTTTCCAGCAGATATTTCCATACGCAACTTCTGGTCTCGAATTGCATTGTTGTATGCTGTATTGACATATAACTAAACTATTAACACCAAGATCCCCAAAATATATGACCATATTTATAGAAATATGCATATATGAATCCTTACTAGTCTCTTCAGTAAGATCATCCCACTTAAACTTGCTTAAATACTTGATGTTCCAAATATCATAGAAGAATTGTGATCTCTTTTTTCCTCCTATTGATAAACAGATGTCAAGAAGTGAACAAGGTCATAATGACAAGAAAATTGCAATTATTTGGGAAGGGCAGCTAATCAGTAGTAGTACATCCTAGAAAAAAGCTCATATGTCTGACAATTTATTTTCTTAAATATGATCAATCCCATTAGCATCGATTCAGAGATCCAGATACAGTATCAAAAATCATAATTTATAAATAAAAAAAATAAAACTTTGGTTCTCTCTCGCCCTCCACCTTCCAACAATTGACTTAAACCAAAACATATACTCGTAAAAAATAAACATAAGGGTGCAGAATAGATAGAATAATAGGGGGAAAATAAAGGGGGTATATTGTTCCGATGCTCTAAGCTTTTTTGAGTGGGGAGTAAACCATTACCTCACATATCACCCACCCTGTCACCAGTGTAATATTTCTCCCTCCTCCACTCTACTCAATTCTAAGTCCCTTCTCCCTTGATGAACAGTTGGCACCAGCCCATCTTTTCCACCCCCTCTCTCTTCAGGTTCTCTCTCTCCCACCCAAACCCCCCCTCCCCTGGCACAACCTCCACTAGATCCATCTCCTGTTGCCCGTCACCAGCAATCTCTCTCCTTCACAGCTTCACCTGACTCTCTCTATTCCACCAAATATACTTGAGCTGCCACCAGTGACCTCAGATCTAGGTGAAATTTGTTGCAGGTACTTAATCTTCTAGCATGCAAGATTTGTGGGAAGGTAGAAATTATGTCTCTAACAATTGCCCTAGATTCATAAACATCAATGTTCTTCCATACAGCCATGCTCACAGACTTATACAAATGCTCATAACTCATCCCCCCCCCCCAAATCCCACCCCCAAAACTCTCTCACTCTCTCTCTCTCTCTCGACCATTTTCAATTCAAAGACAGCAAAGCATTAAAAATAAAACATTATCAAGGAAAAAAAATGGGAGCAACAGAACATACCCATTTGTTCACCATTTAACATATTTGCAACTTTTTTTGCAATGTGCTTGTCTGCAAATTCTACCCACCTACGCAAACCATAATCATGTCAAATTAAGGAGATGAGGGCCTTTTCTAAAGAGATAGCAAAAATGGCGTTGCTGAATATTTATTCAAGGTCTGTAATTAGTTTGAACATCAAATGAAAATATTATGATCACACGCACCCTTCAGAAAATTCTAGCCCACGAAAACCTCCAGACCGTTTACGTCGCATTTGAGCTTCAGGATCTGCAAATAACATTTAATTTAGTCTTTAATTAACTTAGTGAACAAAAGTCGTATAAAATGCATATGAAATTCCAGATAGGGAGAAGCAAATGAACATCATCATGTAGAAGCCTGTTTAAATGTACAAGAACAGGAAGAAAGATGACATACCCAAAAAAAAAAAAAAAAAAAAAGCACAAGACTCAAAGCGAAAACCATCATGGATACAAGAGAACATATATGGAAGTGAGGTAAGGAAAAGGAAATGCCCACTGAATATTTGTTAGGTTTGTGAATACTTTTTTTTTTTTTTTCTTTTTTAAAAAATGATACAGGTTAGAGAACATCTTTGAGCAGATGTATCAGTATCAGAAGATTGAATAATTCCGAATAATGAAAAGGAAGGGGGGGGGTCATAACGGTGTATGGATGGGAAATTTGGTGTATGATAGTTGTCTTTCTTTCTTTCTTTCTTTTTTTTTTTATAAATTAATCTCATACATCAAACTCACACCATAGAGCAGTACCACAACTAAGCAAAGAGGCAAACCTGTACCACAAAGACTCATGCTTTACCCAATCACAATTCACGACCTTGACAAAAAAGAGGAATAAACCAGAAACTTATCATCAAAATACTTTGACCAACAACTCCCTTTAGTGATCTCTTGATTCACCCACACAATCTCTCTAGATTCTGTATTACAAATCCAAACAAATCCAAATCCCTCTCTAGCACACGAGGAGTTTGCAATTTATTCAGATTTCGGGGTACTTTTGTATCTTTTTAAGTGAGCACCCAAAACAATGACCCCTAAGCCCTCTTTACATATATGATGGAAACCTTAGACTCGTATTCGACTTAGGAAACAATTCTAGCCTCTTAACAAGATTTAGAAAACGACAAGGATTAGGATGAATACAACAAGAAATAGGATATTAGTATTCTATCTTCCTAAGCAATTGACAATTAAGTAGGAATAAAGCACCAAAGAGTCCTAAACTCCAAAGCACCTAACAATCCGAATTTTCAAACAGCTCTCCATACTTCAATTAAGGTTGTTTGCTGTGACTCAAGCTAAAAGCTCCTTTTTGTTGCTTCTCACAAGCTGCTACTTCTCTCCCACCACCCCCCCCCCCCACCCACCCCACCCCACCCCCCCACCCCTAAAATCCCTAATGCAGTGAGATATTTGAAGCACAGTGGCTACAATTAAGCCTTTACTAAACCCATTCACTTTCATCAGCACACCACATAGCTTTAATTAGGCACTTCCTATGTCATAAAAGTCTTAATACATGATGATAATCGGATAATACAGTAAATACAAGCCAATCATATTAGGAAATTTGGCACTTGCCTTGCAAACAATGTTTTCATCTGGAGAAAGCAGGAATTTGGCACTTGATTATAGGACTCCTTCAATGTAACAGGCTACTTACTACTGTAGAAAAGGGGGACTAAATAAAAGCAGAAGATGATTTTACTACAATGTTCACTGATGAATTCAGCCTCCCTGATACTAAATGTACCTAACCCTACATGAATAACAGCTTCTTCTGGCAACTTATATTTCTATAAAAGTTCAATTACGATACCTACAGCCTACGGATGCCTATCTATCTTATACAGAGTAAAAACAGTGTATAGAGGGAATCATGATCCTTTCCATTTCTTTTCTTCCATTTTCTATATTCATTTTATGACACCTTTAATTTTCCCCTTCATGAATTGAAATCAATTTCATTCCTTTAAAAGGTCCCGAATAATCTCGCTATCAACTTCATCAACAACACAATTCCAACACTCAGTATTAACCAAAATCAACAAACAACCCATCAAACAAATAACAACAAACTCAACAATTTAACATAGATAAGCAAAACAAAGAACAAGAAAAGGAATACGAACTTTCGGGAGCCAAATAAATGCGTTGAATTTCACCATAAGCGGAGAGAATTTGACGGAGTTTTAAAGGGTCCATTTTTGGGGGAATTCTGCTCAAATAACACACTCCCCTTTTATCAGCCTTCTCAGTTTCCTTCAACAATCTCTTCCTCCTTTTCTCTTTCTTCCTCCTCTCTCTCTCCTCATCTTTAAATGATTTTTTTCCTGCAACTTTAATTACATCGATTTCTGGGTTTTGAACCCCCAATTCTTCTACCTCTGCCATACCTGTTGAACACTTTAGCAATCAAATTTGACTCAATCATCAAACTAAACTCGCTTGAGAATTTGAGTAGCAAAATTCTAGCGACGAAAATCAAGGTATAATTTTTCAGTAGTTTAATTGCAAAATTCACCTTAGAAGAACCCTAAATTGAATAAAATTAACGATTGACATTAAATTGTGAAATTGTATTCGATGATTAAAAACAAAAAAAAAACACATCTTACCTCAGAAGAGAAGCTGCTTCAATGGAGGAGAAATAGCTCACAAGTCACAAGGCGCTTCAATGGAGGATTGAGAGTAGAGAAAGGGAAGGAGGGGTGAACGTGATAAAAGCTTTAATAACCTTTTAATCACTCAACATTGAGCAAAAAAATTGTAATGAACTAATGATTATTCATGTTAGGGTTTAGGGTTTATAGTTTCTCTTTACTAACAAAGAAAACTAATGACTACTGACTATAGTCATACTCAACTAACTCAAGTCATATACGTAGTATTAACATATGCGATCTACTTATGTTTTTTTAGGAAAAATACAATTTAATAATTTTAACGATGGGCGATTTACTTCTAATAATCTCAACTAAGGATTATTATCTAACAATTCCAACTATGCTATGTGTTTGCCGTCCCAATTGGTCAACACCAAGTCAATGACCTGTTATAACAGGTAACCTTGACATGTGTCAACACGTGATTATCCAAAATTTTAAAAAATAAAATATAAAAAAAAATGAAAACAAAAGCAAACAAAAATCCCAGCCAGCCTTTCCCAGCATGAAACCCTAACCCCCCACCCCCTAACCTCGCCGGGCCGGCCAGCCACCTCCTTGTAGCCACCGAAACCAACCGGCCGGCCAACCCCAACCCCCAATAAACCTCGACCCCCAAAACCACCGGTCCAGCCAACCTCGATCCCCAAAAACCATCTGCAGTCACCGCCACCACCTATAGTCACACCTTTGCAGCGATTTTTTGGTCCACGGAGATGGTATGACGACAGGCGTGTTCTTTGGCGATGGCTTCGAAGTAGTCACCGCCACCACCTGTAGTCACACCTTGTTAAAACGCTGCTTCAAATTCGGGGGTTGAGGGTGGGTTAAAGGGGGTCGGGGTTGGCTGGGAGGTGGTTTCGGGGGTCGGGGGTGAGTTAAAAGGGGTCGATCGGGCGGTTTAGGTGGTTAAGGGGGGTGGCCGGCCGGTTTCCGACGAGGTTAGGGGTGGGGGTTAGGGTTTGATGGTGGGGAAAGGGTGGCTGGGAATTTTGGGATTTTTTTTTTTTTATGTTTTTATTTATTTTTATTTTTTTAAAAAAATTAGACCAATCACGTGTTGACACGTGGCTATTAAAACCAAAAAAAACTCTTCCAACAGGTTACCGGTTATTGGGCCCATTGGAGGCAAACTGATAGCATAGTTGAGATTATCAGATAATAAACCTTACTTGAGATTATTAAATATAAATCGCCCATAGTTGGAATTATTAAAGTGTATCTTTCCTTTTGTTTTATTCAAGTTTCGACTTTCATCTTTATATCAAAAATCTTGTCATGTCAAGAAATTAAAATTTGGTACTCCGTAATAAAGATAAGTTAATCAATTTTTTTTTTTTTGGTTATATTGTTACATGTTTAATCCATTGTTTTTTTATAAAATAAATCCATTGTTAATTTATGTTTTCTATTGGTCATTATTTGACCCTATATTTAGTGTGTTCAATATTATCCTTGAATTCATATTTGATTATTGATTTTATTTGGTAGAGTCTCTTCAAACTCAAGCTTGTAAATACTTTCTAGAAATATATATATATATATATATATATATATATATTTCCTCACTCAACTCTATGAATTGTTGCTAAATAACGTAATTTAGAGGGACATTCATGATTTTTTGTCATAACATTATAACAAAATCCTCACTTGAAAGTTGAAACATCTTTATTTGATAAGACTCAAACATCATACATTGATAATTATTTACACAGTTTTTATTTTTTTAAATTTGACTTTGACATTTAGTGTATACAATTTGTCCCTGAATTATTGCTAAATAATGTAAATAGTTAATATTTTTTGGTCATACTGAGCTCTTCACTTGAAGCACTTTCATTTGACAAAATTCAGACCTCAAACATCAAACCTCTTGGGTCTAAGGTAAAGATGTTACCAATTGAGTCAAGCCTTCCTTGATAAATAGATAATTTGGGGTTGGGTACATTTCTTAAATTTTTAGTTAAATGACTTCATTTTAAGAGAGAATATGTTTTACAATTAAAAGTACAACTTAAAATTCGTTAAATGAAGAACATTACCTAGAAAACCAAATAAAAATTTGGATAGTTGATGATAATGATAACTTAATAAGCAAATTATGTAGAGCATTCAATTCATTTGTACACGAGAGGATTCAAAATCACGAAGTTGTTAAAGAGAGGCCTGGTGCTAAACTGTCCTACAAAAAATTTAGCTCGAGTGCTTTTCAACAGATAAAATAAAAGAAGAAAACTTTGAAGGCACTGATGAGCTATAGCTTGACTCAATATCTTGCATCAGCTTCGCCTGCCATTGGTCCAGACGTCGTCCAAACTGTAAATTTTGCGTAAAAGAATATTATAATCAGACTAAATTTTACTACCAATTACCACTACTAACTAATTATTCACACGATAAAGTAAATAATTGCAACAGAAGTTAAGCACCACCAAATGAAGCATTGGGCATTTCCTCAAAAAAAAAAATTAAAATGAAGCATTGGGCATTGCCCAGGAGGGGGTGGGAATGGAGCACACAGACAACACATAGTGGACCAAAACATCTCCCATCTCCCAAACGAAAAAAGGCAGCTAACATGGTAGGAAAGAAACTAGAATGAACGACCTGTGGTGTACAGGAAGAAATGTATTATGTAAACACAGCCACTTAGTAAAAGACATTAGTCATAAGAGTTGAGATTTAACTAGGTAGATGAGCAATTGCACTTTATTAAGAGTTGCAAATACCTAAGATAGCATCATTTAAAATCTTATAAATACTTAAACAAGGATAGCAGAAAAGGCTGAAAAAGCAGTTAGATTGGAGCTTCCATTACCGGATATTAATATGTGCAATATGTATAAGCTTTAACTATCTTCATAAAATCCAAAAACCATCAGTCTCTGATTGTGCTATACTGAAGATAAGAAGCTCTGTTACGAATCTGCCCAAAGAGAGATGTATTGAGTTAGTCCAAGAAAAGACAGAGTAAGAATTGCAGATCTGAATCACAAACCTCTTGAGCAAAAGGCCTAAAATTGATGTTGGAAATTTGGATAGAACACTTGCGGATGAAGCTGCTCCACAGCTCATTGACCCGAGTTTCAGATACAGTGCCAAAAAGGAGCCAATTTTCAGTAAGAACTAAACACAGATATATCTTGAAAAGATTACAGCTCTTGTCTTTCAAATTACTTGACAGCAGAAATTTCAGGAGACCCTTTGCATCTGTCAGCTGTAACAGAACAACAGGCAAGTGAAATTATACCACATTAACTACGCAAGTGAAAGCTAAGCGAGCGGACACACACACACATATGCGTAGTCAAAGCTTCACACAAACACACACACACAAAAGGGTCCCTTGTACTTTTTACACAGGCGATGACTGATAAATTAGATATTTCGATGAAATAGATGTTTCAGCTTTGTCTTATATTCTAGAAGCAAACCATAACCTCCTTTAAAATACTTTTTATTCTACATTGATTTCCTAATATTTTTGAAAATAATGTTCATGATTGTTCACTCATCATGGGAGAAAGTTATTGAGGCAGAAAATATAAACTTGACAGAGTTTTTGAGTTTTTTGACAACTAAACAAATACAATGAAGCATAAGAATATATCCTACTAATATCCATCCACACAAGAAGATTTTGATCCTCAGATGACAAATCACCTACCTCAGCATAACAAGTTGTGAGGAATTGAAAAGCTACAACACTTCTGAGTTGCCTGCTGCGAGTATCAACTCCTGAAATACTATCCACTGCCCTCAAGCAGTTTAAATCTCTAGGCATTCTGCATACAGATTTAACAATAGAGACTGATATTATTCACTATAAGATGAGTACAAGACATTTCAATAAAGCATTCAAACAACAAAGAAAGTAAGAAACTAACTTACAAGGGTTGCTTCAAAAGACTCTAGGAAGAAAATTTAACACAAAGACCTAGCCCGTCACAGGAGGGCCTTGCCCACAAGGCCTCAAGTCCAAAACTATAATCTTCAAGCCAAAATTCATCTCTCTTTTCTTACTCTCACCAGAACTTTCTAATTTTGCCTTTACAGCTTGTTTTCTTTTCAATTTTATATTCATCTAGACATGTATCCAGTATTTTTCTTCTCAAGCGAAATATGTGTTCATAGATGAAATTTCTTGACCCCGCCAACAAAAAAACATATTAAAAAGTCAGACCAAACAAAAAAAAAATCAAAAGGCAAAAACATAATTTTGCAACATAGATGAAGTACAGAGATCCAAACTATCCTCTCATAGATGATTAATTTAGTTGCGCAGTGCTATCGATTTACACAAAACAAAAAAAGATACAAACATTTATACGCCCCAGTTTACAGAAAATGCATTCTACACAGCACTAAAAATATTACTCCCTAAAAAGAGAAAGTACAGCTCTGTAACTATGCAATATCAACAAGAGAAAACTACTAAATAATCTATGGTTGGGATGAATGTAACTCAAAACTCAATTTAAGATTTTTTTTTTTATTTTTTTTTTTTTTTTTATGAAGAGATTATAACACTACCTGTCTGCAATTGATTTTGCTACTTTCTCACAGCTGCTATCCCATTCGTTCTCCCCAAAAAAGTTAATAGCTGATAGCAAGCAATCATGTAAGACTCTACTTAAGCCTAGTAATTGCCTTTCCAGAAACAGACAGATAAGTATTCCTGTGAGTTCTTCTGCTTCTCGTCTTGACAATACCAAATATCTACTTCTGCAGGTTAAAGGTTCGGATATAGTTAATACACAGATAATCAAAAGGTATCATCTAATCAGTTTTATTTCACAGGGCACTTTTTTGTTTTCAGCAGACTAGAAATTTTAATTAAGAAAAAATCAACTAGTGATTGGTGAGCATAACAATACCAAAACACCAAATAGTGACAATTGAATTCTGTAGTCTCATATTCATAATACAATTCTCTCTGTAAGAGCACCATTTCCTAATCCTCACTTCTCACAAGGGAGTGCCAAAATACCCCTCCCCAGTTTGACTGGTAGGATAATTGGAAACAGCACTTTTTATCCAGCAGAAAACACAGGACACTATTAATACAAGACCTACTGAGTAAGCCTAAAATGAAAATTTGACTAACTGGTAACCCCCCGCCCCTCCTCCCCATAAACACCTACATATAATTTGGAAAATCAAAGGTATTCTACTTTTTTTTTTTTTTTTTTAATTTCTATCTATTGTCTTTTTCTTCTAGGAATTTACCATAGCATACAGAATAAGGCTTCTAACTGTAGCAAATAATGAGGAGTTGCTTACACCCAATCATACTCTTAAAATTATTGACAATTTATTCTACACAACATGGATCATCCCTCTACTTCACACTAAATGTACATTTAATAATGTAAAATTCCAAGTCAAAGACAGCCGTTTTCAGACAATAAAGCTATGCTGCCTTGGTTTGAAAACAAATCTGTTGGGAGTATTTTCATCAATTTCTATCCTTCAACTCTCCTCTAACATAGTATTCATCTTCTAATAAGTCTATTCCTCTGTAATTTCTCTTGAATAACATGGCTTTTTCACCCTCTCTAATAACTCTGTCTTCTAATTTCTACCTTTGTCTACTCAAATAATAAGAACCCTTACTAGATCCCCTTTTCCTATAATTCTGCCTATGTATCGAACTAATATGCAAGCAAAAACCAATAACAAAATTATCCAAGTTCTTAATGCTGATAATTAAGCACCGTCCATATCACAAGTCAATAACCTCTGAAATTCATACAATAGCATACCTTACTTGAAAGCAAGCATCTGCAAATTTGATCCATGTTCTGATGTTAGTTGGTGGCCCTCTTTTTTTAGAACCTGCTAAAAAAGCAATCTTGTTAGAAAAAAGATCACCATATCATAAACTAAGTAATT